ATTTCATGTAATTCAGCCTATAAGAAAAGGGGTGAAAAATACTTTCATAGGTTTATTATAGCTACTTTTGTTACTACGACGCTACAATGGTTGGTATTTGTGTTAGAGTATTATCAATTCTATCATAAGCATATTACGAAAAAAACAAAATATCTGGTTAAATTTCAAAGTGGCTTCTTTCTCACTCTAACTTCCTACGGATTAACTCTAATGCTGGTAATTGTTGGTATAGAATCTAATATTCGTTGGAAGAATATAATTGGACGTTTTAAAGTAATGTCATTAAAGTTTCCTCCTTCACCTCATATACCTCCCGAAGCTGTTTCTGGTTCACCTCCGAGAAACGTACCTAAAAATCTCGTATTGAACTTTTATAAATGGAGTTGGAAAGTTGAGAAGGGAAAAATAAATAGGGTAAACTTTAAACCGTATTATAAAAATTACCTGAGAATGTCAAAGAAGACACCTACATTCTATAGTCTTACTCCCAATATATCATACGATAGAATGTTTCTATATAGTCAATCAAAGCAAATGAACTATTATCATTTTAATGAATGCACATGTACAAAACAGTATTATTCCTGCTGTTCATACAAAAAATGCAATTGGAAAAAACTCGAAATTCAAATAGGCATTGAGCGATTACATGGAAATAATAATAACAACTTTCATGAGGATAACTCTTATATTAAGGTTACAGATATTGCCTTTCTGAACAAACTAGAATTTACAATACTCACTTCATTTAGTTTGCCTGAAAATTCGGATTGGAATCTCATTAACTTCCTTCAACAACAGCACGAATTTAATGGGAAATTTTCAGAAATCTATATCCCGCTGGTTGAAAGTCTAATCATAAAAAACAATGGTATAAGCCTTGTTAATTCTTTGTTGAAACAACTGATTAATCCTCAGCATAGACAAATGATAGTATCTCTTGTTGTTGATGAAATTTTCAAGATATGGCCTCCTCCTTTAAAATTTCTTAGTTTATTACAATCGAGATATTATATAAAGGAACAGAAAAAATTATCGAATTTTAGAAATATACCTCCAGCTATTGAGAAACTTGTCTCGAATCCTTATGATAATACTGATGTATTTAATATATTTGATTTTTTGAATCTTACATACATGAATTATTGGACAGAAAAAGAGTTAAGATTTGGAATATTTGAAGAATTACCGATAAAAAGCTATAAATTAAATATCTTAGAATTAAATAATGATTCACAAACTGTACAAACTATTGAATTTTCAACAAGTAGTTCGGATAACAAAGTAACTTATACCACTCACCAAGAAACGCTTGAAAAAGACTCGCACGTATAAATTTTTACATCGTTGTTGATTATCTAATGAATATTTAAAATTTGTAAAAATTACCTCAATTTGTGTTTGTCATTTGTTAAATTTATGATTAATATATAAACTTTAAAGGTTGTTTTTTTTTTAAATTCAACTATTGTATAAAAACTTATTAAAACAATAAGTTACATTATTATTTCAACGGTATACATCTATAATTGAGTTGATAGACTCTTTTTCACAAAAGTTTGTAATTGATTACTCAGCATTTTTCTCTTTTCTTTCTGTTATATTTTTATTGCTTTTGTATATATTAAAAAAAAAATACGAAAACATAATGCTCCTAAATAAATAATAGGTTTAATTGGGTAACATACATGACTCCTTTGTACTCAAATATACATTCACTTCTATTCGATACTTTGATAGCTACCTGAACATGACCTTGAATGAATGGGATAAATCGTTAAAGAAACAGATAAGAGCGTAGTTTTTGGAATATTACCTTGGACAGTTGCTTTCGAAACATTCATAAATATTCTGACTGTGTAGTGTTCAATATGTTGCGTAAAATCTTACTCTTCCTGAAAAAAAATGATCATTTTGTATGGATGTCAATTTTAATTCTGTTAGCAGTCATTCTAAATTTGAAAACAGCACAATTTCAATTCTTTCATACTTCATTTAAAGAAAATCAAACAGGTAAATATCTTTTTCTCTATAATTATATAAGAATTGTATCATTCTTTTTACTAAAACATAAGATACACCAATCAATCCTTTTCTATGTTTGTTTTTCTTGTTTCTTAACAGAAATAATTCATCTGTTACTATCGTCGTTAAGATGTTGCGGAACAGTAGTAATGCTACTTTCATATCCATTGGGAGATCGAATCAGGATGACTCAAAAGTTTACTCTCATCTGTTTCATTATTATACTCTGTTTATCGATTATAGAAATTCCGTTTCTTGTTAAGATGAATAACAACAAGCATTCAAATTTTAACTCGGAATATCTCACTGATATTATATGCCACATTCTAAATGTTGCTATTATCCTTCTCTCAATTTTTATATTGGTTTTAAAGATGTTTAATATAAAATTAACGGATTTTTTCTGCATCTATAAACTTTATCATTGGAAATCGGAAAACAATTTTATCTTACAGCCTGAAGCCTTTGTTCGTCATTATCCGTCAAATATTTGCTTGGGGATGAAGGTTAATTACAGAGTTTACAGGTTAAAAGGAAGTCATGGGAAAATGCGGTATCATCATTCTCATCCATCGCTATATTCTGATGAAGAATCATCTTGGAAAGAATTTATGTCAGACCCGGTTTTTCAAACAGATTCAAAGATAAGATGCCAACCAAATAGTAGATATCACGGGGCAAATAAAAAATTTATAAGATCATACATGAATACTTGTCATAATCAAGAGTGCAGAAACAATAAAATTATTCATACTCAGAAAGAGTGTAACTGGAAGAAAATGGATATTGAAATTGATTTTGAAATACTCAGAAATAACAATAATGACGACAGAAAGAAATATATCGATTATTTTAATTTAGTATTCCTACATAAACTTGGATATTCATTCTTATCCACATCGAACTATGAGAATTATCCAACTTTTACAATACTTGACTATCTGAAAATGCAAACTAACTTTAATTTTATCTTTGAAAATTTATACGTTTTTATTATCGAAAGTTTAATTATAAGAGAGCCCAGTCAACGTATGATTCAACTACTTTTAGATAAATTAGATAACCCTTGGCATATAGAAGCAGTTGTAGTTTACCTGTACGGGAAACTATTTAAACAATGGCCGTTTCCTTTATGGTTCTCAAGTTTACTTGTAATAAGGTCTTATCTACGCAAGGGAATGAAAATGGACACATTGTCGTTAGCTCCACTTTCAATTCAAAAGTTTATCTCGGATCCAACATCAAGAATAAGTAATATTATGAACTTTAGATATATAGAATATTTTACTAATGATCATCTAAAATATGGTTTATTCGAAAGTCTCAATATCATTGATGGAAAACTAGAAAAAGTTTGTACAACAAAAACGGCTACCACTTTAGATTCAGCTGTATAATCTTTCTTAGTAGATATAAATTATATATATATATATATACGAATATGTGAAAAATAAACAACATTGTAATAATATATTATTTACTATTTAAGTGAATTAAAAAAACAAATCATCCTATTTTCTTTATAGTATTAACTGCAGATTATCTTTACTATGGTAAATGAATAATCATTTCTTTCAGAATGATTTAATAGACTTTTCTTATCTATCTTCATTTAAATCTAGAAAAGTAAGATTGATTATCTTATTATTGCTTTTATTATTCATTTTTCCTTTCCTCTTAAACGCCTTCTTGATCGATAATCCATCAAGAATATTTATTTGATTGTCTTATCAAAATAAAATCAAAGTCACTTTAATTAATTAAACTTTACGTTTTCATCTTTTAATTAAATATACATTACTTATTTATTATTTCTAATAAGTAAGCAATTAGACTTTTTCTCTTTTATTTAATATAGTAAAGCATATATTTTGATGAATACGCCATCTATTGATTAAAATTGGAAATATTTTATAGAAGAACAAAAAAATATCTTTTCAGATATTACAATTCAAAAAAGAAATCAGAGAGAAAATTAGTTTCTTTTTAAAAAAAAAAGATGTTTTTTTATCTAATTGAAGCTCAATTTAGTATGGATAAATTTAGCACTATAATTGCGGGATATAAATGGAAGACACTATATATAATAAACACATAAGGAAGATAGAGCATGGAATCACACATCTTATATATTTATATATTTTTGGTATACATTTACAATACGTAACATATTAATTCTGATAACCTAAAATAACAATTATCCCTTTTCGAATTAAGCTTAAAGCATAATAAGTTTTAATTCTATCTCTCTTTTTTCTCTTTCTCTCTCTCTCTCTGTCTCTCTCTCTTTTTATCTTTATAACTTACAGATGAAATGCTGCTTCACATGGTATAGAATTTTTTTTACCCAAGAGCATTAAATGTTTTATTATAGTTTATTTTAAAGAGACAAAATATAAAGGTAATAATAAAGTATACTGTTTATCAATTCTCTAGAAACTCTTTTCATGCATCATTTTCAACGAATTGTAACAAGAAAAACCTCTATTTAGCATCTCATATATCATTCGAGAATATTTTTGAGAAACAATAAAGCTATTATATAAAAATGTTAGAAAGAGGGAAACAAGAAGAAGAAGAAGAAGATGGGAAAGTAAGAGAAAGAGAGAGAGAAAGAGAATGGAAAGGGAGAAAATGAGAAGAGGTTGAGAAGGTTATTAATAAAATTCTTTTTTTAGCTGTTTCTGCCATGTATTATTGTAAATAATATTCCAAATATTTACATATAACACATAATACAATATATTTCTTTAATATAGATTTTGTCTGAATTCTTTTTCCATTTGATTTTACATGAAATGTAAGGAAATTTTCAACAGAATTCGTGTTATTTATATTCCATCATCTCCTTTATTGTATCTTCCTTAGCTTTATAATTAGTATATTTGTTACTATAAAAAGTAATTGTTTGTGTTAACATACACAATATATAAAATATATATTATTATATATTTTGTACATATTCTAAATGTATAGGTGTCAATACAAGTATCTATATTAAACTATGACCTGTATGCAGTATATTTTTAATTTGTATGCATATTTTTTAGTATTAAAAGGAGGGCAGTAATTTAAATTATTATATATTATTGCTATTTAATTGATAATACTCGCTTGGATGCACAGAATTATATTTATGTATTATAATTCTATACATTCGAATATTCCGAATCTTAACGGCTTATAAGTCCATTCATAGACGTGCCATAAGCTCAGTGTTGAGAAGATGTCGAAAATTTCAGAATTATTATACGGATCGGCGACGAACAATTGAATCATTTCCGGTATATGTCCATTAGTAGAAATGCTCTCTAAAGAGCCACCGTATCTTAAAAACCGCCTACACCGTTGTAGGCTTAAATACCATAGAGGGGGTGGCCACTCTTTAAATATTAGACAAGTAACGCACTCCCTAACCATTTTTCTATGCTGTTTGTCCTCCAATTTAGCGAGTAGTACATTTACCAGGAATAGACCATTATCCCTGATAATTAAACTTTCTACGATGTAGACGTACATTGCTTTAAATCTTGATCGAAAGTCTTTCTGCTTTTGCAAATAGTCAATAAGTGTCATATTTATATTTTTTGGATAGTTAAAGGGTGTAAGAAAGGTAAAACCAAATTTATTCATAAACGTTAATTCCAAGGCACTCCAGCGGCTTGTATGAGTAGCTCGAGAGTTTGACGTACAGAAATCTACTTGAATCTCCAATTTCTTCCAAGAGCAATTTCTTCTATCGGAACTAGAGAAAAATTGCCAAGAACAGTTACACTCTCTAGAATGTATGTCGCACAGAAGAGACAATTGTCTATGTCGGCAAATCTCTCTATACTCTCCGCAAAGACAGACACTAAATATAGTTGTGTCAACTGAGGTTTTTAATTCTGCAAAACTATCGTACAGTTGATAAGGGAGATCTTCGTTGGAACTACTTAAGGCGTCTAAAAAACGATTTGTATCGAAGAAAGTCCAACCCAATCTGCTAGACTTTTTGTCCCATTTATAACGTATAAATTTCACTTTTAAATCTGTTGATACAATTTCAGGTACGAATTGATGGACAATAGCCTTTCTAGGATAATTAAAAACGGAAAAAGCAGCTAAAGCTGTTGCTCTTTTCGAGTCTCTGAGTAATGCTATTAAAAGTGACTTCTTTTTGGAATGTAGTACCGCCAAAAGAAAGGACAATGCAGATGACATGAGGGCTAATGAAAAGCCAAATTGTAAAACAACGTTTGATCGGCCACGCTTTACAGCCATTCTATCCCAAAAATATACTGCGGCTTCGATTAAACTCGATAGCCATATCATTGCTGTCGATAAACAGCAAACTCCATATATTATTACGCAACATCTCTTTATTCTTTTGCAGTTTGAGGAAGAGCATTGTTCTAAGATAAAAGTTAGAGTTGTCATTAAACCGCCAACAATTATTAAACCGAAATTTCCAACTAATAAATCACGTGACAATCTTCTCCACACTACGTAAATAGCAAGAATTTATTATAGAATAAGAGGAAATAAAAAAAACTCTTACGGGTAAGATTCGTCCAATTACCGTTTGAAAATCCAATGTATATTGTTTTCTCTTTGATATTGGAAGTTGGATCAGGGTTAACAGTTATCCAATAAGGATGGGATAATGATTTCAAATGAATCAAGGGATTTAGAAAAGCAATGATGAATATAACAAAATTTACCAAGAATGAATAACAGCAAGGTGACATTTTCTATATATATATATATATATATATATATATAAATATATATATATATATATATTTATATACTATATATTTATATATACATATATATAATACTCTATATAGAGTGCTTTGAAAAAAATTAATCAATATCTAGAGTAATTATATAGAAGATAATTCCCAGGCTCAGTTTAGGGTCAGATAAAAAGGAAGAACAAATTTTGGAGATAAAAAACATCGAGTTCTTTCTTATTTATAAAACAAATACTATACGGAAGAAGTAGAGGAGAAAATCTCAATAAATCGATGTAGATACAGCAGTGAACGATTTTGTTCGCAGAGTGAAGAATACGATGTGCCACTGACGAACCATATTAGAACGTTAAAAAATTTTCTATGCGCAAGAGGAAACCAGTCGACTTTTACAACAAGACGGTTATTGGACAGTTCTTAAACTTATAATAATTTTTTTAAAAAGCATCTCTCCTACTGGTTACCATATATTGAGGGATCACGGCTCCTCTTTTCCAATCGATTATAATTTCACGTCGAAACAAACCAAGTGCCAGTCCAATATTTTGGGGAATTCACATCATCAACTCTACATTTATCTTCTTACAGTTGTTTAAGGGGATCGTTATCGTATATCATATAACTGAAACTATGATCTATAATAATAGATTCTTGTATCATCTAAGTAGTCAATTTTTTATGTTCCTTCTTTAAATTCTTTGATGTTTTATTCTAAAGATTGATAGTTAACAGTAAAGACATGCGCCTATTTGATCCACTGTATGATATATACAAAGTGTACTATGTGCATTATTACAACAAAGATTAAAGATATCAATTTTTAAATGGTTGTGACAATTTATTGATTTATTAAAAGAATTATTTTAAGCTAATGAAAAACAGCAAAATTCCCCTATCCCTCAAGGTCTATTGAAAAAGCTCTTGGGGCATATTCTACGGAACATCCATTTCCAGTCGCCAGCTTTGCAAATCTCTTAAAACATTTCAACAAAGACATAAAATATCTTTAGTTAAGAAAAATAGTCTATTGGATTTATCTAGTCCACGTAATCTTCCTTACAATCTCTTCATGACCTGTTTTTCAAATAAGATGCACATAACTTCCACAGGAGGAGAGCAAATGAAAAATCTACTATCCTTCTATCATTAAATTAAAACAAGCCATCATCAAATTGTAACTATATACATCATTCTTAAAAACTAGTTTTGATCTGAATTTTGGCTAATTAGACTAAATGGAATGTAGATTTATATATCTTAATAATAATAATAAACTGGCACTGGTACCATTGTAATACTGGAATAATAGAAAGTAAGACAAACGAGAGAATAATATTTCGTTGATAAAAAGGAAACGTTTGGCTTTGTCTTGCTTTTTTGATATTTTATATATAAAAACTAGTTTATTTCTAAAGTGCTATATGTCATTTGAATGAATCAAATTTGTATACAGATTCCACGAATTCTGTATAATAGCTGTATTATTTATTCAACTCAGCTAACAATCAAGTTTAAATTTCCAATAGAGAAAGAATTACAAAGTTTTTATTGTAAATAATAGAAAATTGTCTTGTAAAAATAAAGATATAATATCTTTAAATGTTAAATTTAACTATAATATATTTAATACAAAAATTCAATACTAAATATTCTTTTTTATTATCAACCATTTTTTTAAATTCTTCCTCAAATAAAACGTTCAAATAACGTTATAAGGTTGTAATTGCTTCCAATTGTGATTGCATATACTTTGTATTAGAGACGAAAAACCTATTTAAAAAGCCTAAAAAATTCTAAAACAAAATTGCTAAATCTGCATAATTCATTTTGTGAGATAGATGAGCATACAAATAAGCCAAGGGAATTAATCTTCAACTGATAAAAACCATATATATAGTATATATGTATATATTTTTTAATAAAATAAACTTGTTATCCTACACACTTTGATGATATTTTTCAAATTTTGCAGCATATTTTGCAGTAGAACAGAAAATCTTTTTATATAATGCATAGAAAATTTCTGCAAATCTCTATTAGTTTTTAATATTCTTATATAGTCTAACGAGAGTGTATTTACATATGACTAATTAACTTAAGCCCTTGTTTAGAGATTCTTTCTTCCAATCCCTAGTTAATATCTATACTCCTCTCTCCCTCTGTTTTTCTCTCTCCCTCTCTTTCTAACTCTCTCTCTCTTTTTTTTACTCAATATTTAAAAATTAGCTTTTATTATGGTATTTATTCCATAATAAAATCTTTACATTAAAGAAGTTAACTGGAGGAGAAATGCAATCGATTAATTTCTCTTTTTAATTAGCGTCAAATGATATAAAAAGGGTTCTTCATTTTAAATAATTTGCTATAAACAAGTGTCCATTTTTTAGTCCCAATAGAACTCCCTTTTCATTTCAATTTAATAACAAAGCTTTTTAATTCGATAGCCATAGTCTATTCACCATCAGAGGGATTTTTGTTCCTCATATAACCTCGATAAAATTTTATAATTTATTAGATTTCTCTATCTTTTAATTGAGTTTTTAGCCAATTAAATACTTTTTTTAAGACTTCTTTATATATTTTATTTAATTATAAATAAATGATGAAGAAAGTGGAGTTCAATGATAAATCTATGAGAATTTATTGAAAAGTCAAAACATCTTTGAAAGAGTATTTAAACATTAATTGAAATAAAACAAATCTTTATCAATCTAATATTCACCAGAACGAAAGAATAAGGTATGTTATCCTTTTAGCAGTTATTGAAAACTTCTCTTCCGACAAGATTATGAGATTCTTGCATGTCATAGTCAATATTGCATTCTACGAAATAGAGAGTAAGGTTTATTTTCGAATTTATAGCTTTTTCGATTAAACAGCAACAAGATACATATTGCAATTTTTATCAACTATTATAAACTACATAAAGTGTGTTATTGACGCTTTATCTACTGCTTTAGCAGGTGATTTAATAATGACAATTACTATGTTGTTATTTTGATACTGGTTAAAACATCCCAATAGAAATAATGATGGAATAATTGATAGATTATCAATAATATAATCTTCAACATATAAATATTCATATATTCAAATTTTCAACAACTCTTAGAATATTTTATATTTATGGAAAACGTTTAAAATATTGAAATTTAATGAATGATACTATGAGAAAATAATATAAAAAATACAATTAATATGTTAATTATTATATAATTTATAGTTTACAAATATAAGTATACAAAATACTGTTGAGAAGTTTGTTTATGTCCAAAAACTATGTTATACTTAAATATTATAATTGTTATATTTCATATTTTTATACAATCAATCAACAAAAAATCTATTAAAGTTATGATGATTTTATAATTAAATTAGCATGTATATATATATATATATATATAAATTTATACTGTATATATAAAAGAGAGAAAGAGAAAGCAAGAAAGAGAGAAAGAACATGGAAACATGTGGATTTTGTTCTCTTAAAAAAACGAAACCATTTTTCGCTATTAAACTTTACTGTATATTTTCTACTTTTAGTTTATTCTTATTTTTCTTTATACATACGCCAATAGTCACTCCTGCAGTTACTAATAAGACACCTCCTGTTGACCCAATTACAATCTTTATTATAGTATCTCTACTTAAACCGCTGGACTGAGAAATAGTTGTTTCTTCGTGGTAGAGTCTAGTTGATGTGTCTCTATTTGCTTCAGTTGATGTGTCTCTTTTGTCTTCAGTAGTTGTATCCCTTTTGTCTTCAGTTGTTGTAGTAGCTTTTGCTGTTGTTACAGTAGTAATTTTCTGAGGAGACACACTGCTGCGTACACTGTTGGTTGTTGTTTGCCATGAATCTTGTGTTGTAGAAAGTGCGCTAGACGACGGACCTCGTGAAGTTGGATTCATCGGACCCCAATAAAAATAATTAAGGCTAAAATTACAATAAACATTATTATCATAGTAAACAACGCAACTTTCACATTTAAAAGTCGATCCTCTTTCTTCTTCTGTCAAGTTAATACTGGATGAAGAATAGTTTAGTTTCAATGTGTCGTTAACCTTTTTACAGAAACAGTAATCAATTAAATATCTGATGAATTATTTTATTAGTTAAACTTTCTACTGACCATCCAATTTGTATAAAGGATCTTATCAAAATTTCCAGATGCTTCACAATTTAAAACGGTCTTTTGAACTTGTCTTACATGAACCTTTTCTGGACCATCTGATTACAATAAGATTTTGTATATAAAGTATACATTTAATCTATTTTAAAAAACTTGTATACATTGAACATCTAATGGAATTGTATGGGATGTTTTATATGCATCTTCATAGAAAAAAAAATTGGGACTTTCTGTATCTACATCTCTTGCGAACGGTGGCAAATTTTGTAGATGAAAGTATTCTGATACAGATATTAGCTTCTCTGAGTAGCGAAATTCACAACGCAAAGAATTTGTGAATCGATGTGCGAAAAATGTTACAGTTGCCTTTATCTTCCTCTTTAAAGGTTTAGTGTTATTGATAACAATATTTTCATATTCAATAGAATAGTCAAAACCATGATTACCAGAAGAAAAACATGAGAATTGTGGTGAAAAGTGAGTATATGTTAGGTTGTAGCTAACAGATATAGGTTCGAGCTCAGTCGCCTGGATAGTTGTTCTTGGATGCTCAAAATCAGCTATAAAGCATATTAATTAAACTTTTAACTATAATTTATGAAATGTAATGAATTTGAACAAGTTCTTACACAAAACTGCAAAGGCTGCACGAAATTCCTTATCACCAGCTATACAACTATGATATATATTATCAGTATAATTATTAACATTCATAAAGTTATAGGAAATGATTCTGGTATAGTTTTCATCAATTATCATGTCATATCTATAAGTTTGCTGGGGTATTATATCAACTGAATCTGCAATTAGAAGTAACTCTCCTTGTTCATTTTTACCATAAGTAGTAGCATCAATAACGTGTGGAATATCCGGCCATGCGTGACAGGAAAAGTTAAATGCCTGAGTTTGGTCTTCGTAGATGACAATATTTCTGGGGCGACGTACATGGTCAGGCGGTATTACAGTTGGATATTCAGTGTCTAAAGAGAAAATAATGATACGTTGGACATGTTTCTGCTTTCGAAACCTTATACACATGCAATATATACTGTATATAAATTGTTTAACAAACCATTATGATAGAAAAATACCGGACTTTGGGAACAATTAGTATTATTATTAACAAATTCCATGCATATTCTGCAAGTAATGTTTCCCGTAATACCAGCTACATATAACTCCTCGTCATTTTCTGGTTGTACTTCTCCATTTACCTGGAAAAAAGAGACGTTGAAAAGAAAACCCATAGTTTTGTATTTTATTTACAGTCCATTCAGTATTTATTCTTTTATTGTATCTTCCATCATCAGAGCATCGTAAAACACTATCCTTAGCTGGATGCAATGATATTATTACATTATCTGGGGGATCTAGTAAATAAAGACAAAAGTGTTCTGAGCTGTTTGTTTGTTTATAGAATATTAAATGCTAAAAATATTTTCCCTACATTGAACTCGAAGAACGAATGAACATAATACTTTGTCTCCATCTCTGTCATGGAATATTGGCTTATCATGAGCAACTGCAACGACAAGTGCTGATAAATTGCTTATTGGTGGTATGCTTTCTATATGCTCATATTCATCGCCGTCAACCTCATTGTCATATGTAAATCGACAATTTATATTTTTATCAAACCTATCAGAAACTGTAAATTCTATTTCGAAAGATATAAAACCAGTTAAAGGTTGATTACTTGTTTTGTTCACAATTTTACTAATAATTGTATAATTTATTAATGTTCCAGGAGTGTCGCAATTAATTGACGGTGCAATATGAGTGTAGTTAACAGATTTTGTTATTTTTATTGATTCTCCTTCAAAAACGTTCAATTCCGATTGACTTTCAGTACTACATTCATAATTTGCTGGAAAATAATTAATAGTTACAATAAGAAAAAGTGAATAGAGAAACAAACAAAACTCACACAAAACCACAATTACACCTCGAAATGAAAGTAAATAATTCTGTCCCAAATAGTCAAAGTCTACCATACAATCGTGATAGTAATTGTCTTCGTATTCCGATGTTGGTTTAGTATAGGTAATTGTTCTTTTACCAGATTGTGAATCATCTACTATGTAACGATGACTCTGACTTGGTAAAACTCCATTTTCATTAGCGATGTATGATAAATTCCCGGTAGAGTCATCCTGTCCATAATAGTTTCCTAATATTGGAAAAGTATCCGCACATTCTTGACCAAAATGTGATGATCCTTCATAAACAACAAGATTATTTGGTAAACCCTCATTTATTTTAATTAGATACACATTCACTACAAATATTAAAAATGGCTGAAGAATCATATTTCTATTTTAAGAATAATCCTTAGTTTTTCTCACCAGCTAACGTTTTGGATAAATCTTTCTAGAACCTTATATATATATAACTCTGTTAATATAGATAACGTGATCTTTTTATTACGCTTCTAGTGGGTATAGAAAAAAGGATACTGGCTCTCCCTCCTAATCCCAATTGCTATATTAAAGTACAAAAGGAACAAAGCGTTTTCTTTTCATATGTACAAACTTTATTAAATTCATTTTTTAAAAATATTGAATAATATTTAGTTGATTAATAATTTTTAATCTTCTTTTAAATTACAACCAAAAGAATTAATTGATAAATTAGGTTATAAATAATTTTAGTTATCAATAAACTGATTAGACTGAAATTTTTGACTGAAAAACCTTGTAACTTTGTGATTAAGTATTGCTCTGGTAAAAGTTGTAAAGATATCAAAAGGTACAAAAATTTAATCCCCTAGAATAAAATTTTATGATAATACTTCATATTTTATTCTATATATTGTTCATTCTTTGAAAAGATCGATAACTAAACATAAAATTAATTTGTTTAGCCTACTTTTACATTATTTATCATCTTCTTTAGATTTTCTGTAATATTCTCTTCCTACTGAAAAAAGACACTCTACAAATCTATCATTTACTTTACTTTTTTATTTCTATTTTCTACTTAAAAGAAAAAAGACAAAAGAATAAAATAAAGAAAAGCTAACTTTGATAAATGGTACTTACTCTTGAAAAAAAGTCATCATCTAACGCTATCTACAGTTAATGTATTATCTACTTCGCATTTTTATCAATTGTATACTCTTCTAACAAAGTTCCATTTTTATACTTTGCTTTGTTTTTTTGTTCCTGTCTTTCTTTTTTGTTTTGTTTTTTTTTTATAAAAAAAAAGAATTTAAACTCCGCTTCTTCTTTTTTTAATTATAATTATTAAGAGACTATATAATGGAAAATTAATAAAATACCTTTAAGACGTTTTCTTTCAAGATTTCTAGAGTTTTTATAATAATAGTAAAAGTTTTTTTATTCGTTTTAATCTAACACTAGATGTCACTTCATTACAATGTTAGTGAATCTAATATCAAATTTATTAATTTATTAAAGTATTTATTAATTTATAATTGTATGGGAATATATAAAGCAATGAATTGTATATTGTTTTAATATACATACATGTGGATTTTCATTGAACTGGACACAACTAACAAACTGGAAATTTAAGGTGAACAGCGATTTTTCATTCATTCGTAATTCTACATGACAAAATTGGCTCTGCCATCTTTTCAGTTATTCATAAATGCAGTATCATAGAAAAAATTGTATATATGCAGCATTTACTTATTAATATATGAAACAATTGGTTAGTTTTGGCAAACAGGTTTATTCAAAGATCAACCATCTATCTTTCTTTCTTGCTCCTAGGAATTGTTAGCTTATCTTGCGAGTATTATTGATAGGGTGGAGGTGGCTCGTATACTTCATACGGTGGAGGCCGACTTTCGTATGGAGGTGGAGCTCTGATGATTACTTCGCCGTTTGTATCGTCTATCGAACTGTCAGAGGTTGCTTGATGATGAGTTCTTCTACTATTACGATTAGATGAAACAATATTATTGTTGGAATCTTGCATTGGAATGTTTTGTATTTCAATCTCCTGATGAACAGTTGCACGACGCCTATAATAATTTCTTCTTCCACGTCTAACAACAGTTCTATTAATAGTTGGCAAGCTAACAGTTGAATTAGATGTAGATTCAGAGTTTGCAGGTGAAATTTTCTTCTTTTGATACTTAATACCAATAGAAATAAGAATTGTATTTAACATTGATAAAATGGAAGAAGTAATTGCCAATCTATGACAATTGCCCATATAAATCTGAGCATTTTCTTCATATGCCTCCACAGTACATAAGTAAACAATCCAAGCAGTTAGCGTAAGAGGTGATGCTATACCAAACATCACAACCACAATGTTTAGAATCTTATGAGAAGGATATAAACGTAGAAAAAAGTTTATAAAACAAATAAATAGGCCGAGAAATAGCAAAACGATGCTAAAAATCATCAGAATTTGAACAAATCTTATCGAACCTGTTTTTGTTTAAAATTATTATTAATTTATCTAATAAGTAGTTAATTAGTTTTTATTCTCACCTGGAACTATTAAAATACTTTCACATTTTGAACTTTGACACTTTCTAAAGAGTCCATAAGAAATTACACGAGTTGTTCCTCCTGTAGTGCCTACACTCGATTTTTCAACAGACTTTTCTATATGCCATTCGGCTGCATATAAGGCCGAAAAATGGAAAATGATCGTAAAAGGGATTACGAATACCAATATGAATTTTAAGTATCCTTTTGATTCAAAGCATTTTGTAACCATTGTTTATAGCTATATATACAATTAAGTAATATCTTTAAGATTAAGCAAGAAAGAGAGAAGGTGGAATTCTCGTCTAGAGCATTTTTTTTCAATAAACCAATTCAAATGTGATCTATCGATTATCCTAAAATAAAATATACAAAATCAGTAAAAACAACTTATATCCTTAAAGAGACTAAACATTTGAATCTTTTCTACTAGAAAATCCTTAGCAAGTAAATATTTTGCTTAGTTTCTTTATTACAACTACTGTCTCTCAGTAATAATTAAGTTTTAATAATTAATTCAATCATAATTTATCTATGATATCATTCAAAATAACGAATTTTACACCATCTTATTATATCTAAGAGATAAAAAATAATATTTACACTATTCTAACCATATTTTGTTAATAAATTCTTTACTATTCATTGAATAAAACGAATAAACAGTGTTTGTTTTATTAAGAAAATATAAGAATAGTAGTTTGAAAAAAGAAAATAAAATCAGGTTATACAATAAAAAATAGAGAAGAATGGTTAGAGATTCAATTTTAAACTTGTTACGTTTTAGAATGTAATAAACATTTTTTTATAAAAAAAAACCATAAATCTTAAGTGAAAAGAGGATTTCGTTCTAGTTTATTAACCGGTTCAACAGCTAAATGATTTAAATAATCAAAGATTAAACGTTTTACCAATATCATATATAATATAATCTTGTATTTATTCAGGTAATACTTAAAGAATATGAATATACAGTATATATAGGTCATAAAACAAACAAGAAAATTTAAGGAAACAGTCAAAGCAAACAAAATGAAAAAGTTTTTTTTTGTTTTTCAACACTACTTTCGTCAAGTTTCTAAGAATGTTATTTTTTCAACAAGATTATCTCTCAAACGTATTATTATAATAAAGTGCAACCTTTTTTGCTAAAAGAGAGAGAGAGAGAGAGAGAGAGATTTCAATTGATCTAGATTTACAAAGTATATGGGCTGACCAAAATCGATATCAATCCTATATTATACGAACATAGTCGCTGATAATAATCACGAAAACATTGAAAATAGTAAAGGAAGGAAGATTGCTTTAAGCTAGACTATATTCTGTGTTGAACGTCTTATATATGATTCGCTATTTTGAGATATTTGTATTGTTCAATTATGCTAGTATACTTAGAACACACTTGTAAAACTTTAAAGTTGATTATGTTTGGCCTATTGCCTTTAACTATAATTTTTCATTGTTTATCTGTCTTCTATAATGAGTGGCATGTGGAAAAAACTTTTGAAGAGGAGACGATATTCCGTCAAAGTGATCAGACGATTCAAACAAAAACAATAATTTATGAATATTACTATGGACTATTTAAGAAATGCTTCAAATCAAAATGTTCCGATATTGAACCATTTCCACGTAAGGCAATTTTAAATAAATATTTAAAGCTGTCTTCTTCCTCTTCTTCTATAACTTTTTCTCTATTCTTTATTCATGTATATTCTTCTATTTGCCTCTTTATATTTTCAAGTATTATAGTATTCATTCAAATATTTATTATAGATTGGTTAAGATTTATTCAAGTCCTTATGGTTTCAAGTTTAGCTTTTATCCTGTTTGGAGAATTGATTGCCATTTTATCTGGTTTGTCCGGTCAACATTATTATCCTAAAGATAAAAAGCTTTTGGGATCATTTTGTATTATAGCCTGCATTTTTACGTTCTTATCATGGATCTTGTACATTCCGCTAATAAAGAGTAAAATACCCGAATCGAATCTGAAAATGGGAAGAAGTCATGGTCTAGCTGTCATTTCATCTATACTGTCATCAATAGCAACAATTATAGTATTTTCAAGCAATTCCGGAACAAAGAATTTATCGAGAACTACAGTTTCGCCTACAATTAGAACTGTTGAATCAACCGTTTCACGTCCATCAGTATCGGAGAGTTCAACAGGGAGGAATAGTATAAGTTCTTTATCAATGGAAAGACATGTAATCAGAGAATCATTCATAATTCTTCCACCCCCTTACAAAAATAAGCCACCTCCCTACGACCTTCCAGAGCTACCTCCTTCTTACTATTAGAATAAAGTATAATTATAATTAGTTAATAAATTACCTACTATTCTTATTTATAGAAAATACATATTTGTATAGAACAGTCTTAATGCATGCAAATAGTTTGAATACTTAGAGGAGAATACATAATATTACGTAGACCAAAATCACCGATTCATAAAAATATACTATAGAAAAGTAAGAGTATAAATAAAATAGTTTTTACAACAAAGGATTATTATTCTAGACGACTTTGTTGAGCGATAAATAAACCTCGACTTTTTTTTTAAATAAATATCACAATTCGTCCTATTTGCCCTCTTGCGTTCATAGAATATTTTATTCTTTAATATTAATACCCTTTCTTTAGCTATTGATAAAATATTTCTATATTAATAGAGGTCGAATAACTTCGTGAGCGGGAACGTGTGACTAATAGTTTTAAGACGTTCGCTTCTTTTTTTGTTTTCTCCTTTGATAAGAGACAAATATATTAGATACTTTATTGTTAAAAGGAAAATGATAATCATTTAGTTTTTTATATACTTTCAAGAGTTAAATAGATATTTTGTTGCCTTTTTGCTTGTTTTTTCAAATCCATTAAATATTAAACTACTTCGTATTTTGTTTAATTGTTAAGGCATTTCTAAATAGCCAGGATTAGCGACTATTTCATCATAGCGTCCTTCATTACCATCTCTACGACTCATACGAGGCTGTGCTGGATTTCCCCTGTTTCCTTCTTCATTATTGTAGTAAGGAGTGTATGGAGGAGCTTGACCTTTCACTGGGGAACGACTTCTTCCTCGATCACCTCCAAGTTTAGGATATAAACCGGGTGGTACTTGATTTGATCCTTGTAGGAAATTTGGAGTATTAAATTGCATTCCGCGTCTTTGTTGTGGGCGTTCCTCTCCACTGTTCATTTTAAATATTATTATACTTGTGACGAAAGAAAATATCGTAGAAATAATAGCCAGGCCAAAAGAATAACCAAATCGTTCCAAAACTGGATTGTTAAACATATCTTCGTCTGAAACTTTAGCTACAAACACTATCCAAGTTGTACCGGTAAGAAGGCAAGCCAAAATTACAAAGCTTAAAAGGAATTTCTTACATTTACAACTTTCTACACACTTACAAACCATAGCTAGAGCTAATAATTGTGAAAGTAGCAGAAAAACTAATGACAAAGAAATTCCAACCTGACAAAATCTGTAGAATGCTATAGGAAAGAGATTAAAGTATTTTAGATAAATATACTCTAAGTATTACATAAAATAGTTACTAACGATATGTGTCTAAAAAAACTCCGTCAATGCTTCTGACATCAGTTCCTTTCTCAGATTTAAATAGACCATACATTGTGTCCCCCTGATGGTACCAATTTCTTGTTGCAGCAGAGACAATATGAATAATCGTCGTTGAAGGCAGCAAAATGAAGCAAACCCACTTTAAAATCTTAGACGAAGAAGACACATTAGAGATAACTTTTTCCATTTTCTCCCAGATTAGAGCAAATATGTGTATTGACTTGAAAATGAAACTGTTGCCTCTCCCAACTTCTAACACTCACAACCTATGCTACACCCTTTTCAAGAATAGTATTTCACCTTAGGCCAAGATAAATAACTACAAATATATATATATTTATATATTAGTATATGCCTTGTATTGAGAGGCCACTGTCAAATTTAACTATTCAAAATAGTTCAAGTGACAATTTTTTGTTGCTAGTTTTTAATACTACTATTATATTTGTATATTAATTAAATTATCATTGAATATATATATATATATATATATATATACATATAATTTTAAATATGTATTGATTATAGATATTACTTAAATATACATATACTGTATATATAGATATATATCATATTAGTATAAATAAATTTATATATATATATATAAGTATACAAACGTTCAGTGTACTTGCTAAAATCAGTATTTCTCTAGATATTAAAATACAAGTACAAAATTAATAATAATTATTATTATGTTACAAATACTACTTTTGCTTTCAAATGATAAAGTAACAATAGTATGAATATAAAAGTTTATACAACAAATAGCATGATATTTCTTGTTCCTTTTTCTATGACTGACCAATTAAGTAATCACCCTTTAAGTGTAGATAAGGTGGAAGAACTTGAAAAGAACACGACTTTTCCTTTTCGGACTGTGAAATATGCTTTAAGAGTTCTTGTCTCACTTCGTTTCTTTTTATCTTATAAGACGTTTTGAGGAATGCAAAACTAAGACCGAATAGACACAATGATAAAACGGATGATAATACAGCAAGAAAGAACGAATACGAAAGCTTTCCTTGATAAAACTCATTAGAATTATCATAATCTGCTTTCTTTACTAAATATATTATCCATGCAGAAAAATTGAATAGTACAGAGATTCCTCTTCCTATAATAATAATATAGTTTATCAATTGACCAGAAAGTTTCTTAACAAAGAGAGCTGCTATCTCAATTGCCAATGAAAGAGTAAGCAAAGAGATGGTAATACACATGAAGACTTGAACAAGCGTCAACCAAGCTAAAACAAATATAAAGGTTTATTAAGACTATATCATAAGAAATCATTACTCTCAGTATTAAATGTGCCAATATCTTCATTTCCATGGCATGTCCCAAATAATCCTATACGCTTTTTTATCGGTTCTTCTGTTAAATCTCTCGTATCTATACCAATTTGAACAAACCATTCACAGGTCAATAACGCAACTAAGATGGCCACTATGCATACCATTAACAAACATAATAACAAACATTTAGATTGAACAATAATCCTTATGCATTCTCCCATAATCAAAGTTTTTATCTGAAATTTTGTAGAAGAATTAATATTAAAGAACTAGACGAAATATTTTAATACATATGGAAATTTCCTGTTCGATTAATTTAATATTAAATTAGTCAATAGAAATCTATTCTATTTTAGCCAAATAAAATGAAAACGGATGCATTGAAGCGGAATATCAGCTATAATATTTCACGTATTTAGAAATACTTAATTAAATCTTCATATATTACCTTAGATTACTCTGCTTTCGCCATAGAGTGATAGACAAATGAAAATAGATAACTTTCTTTCGTTTCTGTTAATACCGTATATTCGTGGTTAACCTTGTACTTCCAATAACATCCGGTTATTGGTAAATCAATAGAACAATTCTACTATAAATCGTTTTCAAAATATTTTACCTTAACTTTCGCTTAGCTTGGTATATTTAAATCCTGGATTATTCATTATAGATTTCTCTTTGTAAGAAGAGATAGATAGATAGAGAGAGAGAGAAATACAGGAAACGAATTTCTCAGAAATTAAAGAAGTGACTCAGAAAAGATTTTTTTCTATATCTACACAACTGATAAGATAGAAATATTGTATAATGATAACAATAGAAAAAATCCTATTTAATTGGCAAATTAATCAATATTTTTAAGAAATTAATAAAAATAAATTTCCTCCAGGCATGGAATAAATATATTCAAAGAAATAGGTTGAACACTACTGTATTATAGATTTTATATTACAGATCTATTAATAGTGATATATTTACTTTTATTATAGAAAGAGACGAAATTGTTATTAATTATAAATAAATCACAATATATAGAGAGTATAGGCTTTTGTTAAAATTGATATTATAACTAATATATCTATCTACAGCATGTACTTGAAAATATATTGTCCATTAAGTATACACTTAATTGAACATAATATTTATTTAACTTTATAAAAACATAATCTACTTAACTTCGTTACGTTTCTCTTAGGTGTGTAATTACATTTAGTTTATATTACTATAAACGTCAAGTCTGATTTCAGTTAATGACTATTAAAAACTTATAAAGCACAGTATGAACATTGTTCGGAAGAGCATAAAATATAGATTAACTATTCTCTACTATAGAAATTAAAGTTAACGGTTAGTTTGTTAGTTTAATGGTTTAATATTTCATTATTAATTTTTTATTATGTTAACAATAGACTTTAATTCAAGTAAATTTGTTAAATAATGAGAATTGTTTGATTCGCTATCAGTGTTTTCTGGTGTTTTTTGAAGAAGTTGCTGATTTGATCTATTGTCGCTGGTTGTTGAATTCCGATTTGACCGATTATTTTGAAATGGATGATTTGGATGGCTTAGAGAACATCTGTGATGATGTTTTGTATTTTGCTGATTTGACATCTTTGATGGTGGTGTCAAGAATAACGGCTGAATAAGAAGGACGAATGATAAGGCGGACGATATCGTTGCCATTATAAAGGATAAAGATAGTCTTCCTTTATGCGTAATATGAAATACATTTTTCACTTTTAAAATAAATACAATCCAACTGATAGTAGTAAGTAAACCAGATAGTAAGATAAGGACTGTTATGGCAATTTTTTTAGTAGGATTCTTCCTTAGCCTCGTTACGACAGACAGGATGGACAGTATCTCCGTTGCTACAAGAATGAATAAGCTAATTATCATTCCCACTCGAACGAATATTAGCCAATCTGTAGGGAAAATAGGAATAAGGCACAAATTTGCTAAAAATATATAGTTCCCTCTCTCTCTCTCTCTCTCTCTCTCTCTCTCTCTCTCTCTATCACCCACTGTCTGGCTAGTAATCTATTTTAAACACAAACCTTCCTTAAATAAATCTGTTCCTGGAAAATCTACTGATTTATCTCCGTATACGGCGAACAATCCTGAATGAGAATCATTAACTTCAAACCAATAGCTGGTTGCCATAGAAATAACATGAATGAATATCGTAAATGGTAATAGAGGATAAATTAGTATCTTCATATCCCAGGTTAAATTCTCAAATTTTATTACAACTGATTTCAAAACGCTATTAGACAATAAGAAAAAGTTTGTTCTAGTATTTTCTCCTTCCGGTTTTGTTAAGATAATTAAAGACATTATAAAAGAAAAAACCGACGAGATTATGGCTGATATGAGCGAATATGAAACCTTAATTGTTTCTTTGCGTGGTTTAGCTAGCATAATTATGATAGTCAACCAACTTAGACTAGTTAATAACCATATTAGGAGCAGAGTAGACCCTATCAAATACTTTTCAATTATATAACTTTTCCGCCCGGTAGACATTGCAAAAACGATAAAAACACCTAATATACTAAGTAGAGCAGGACTAATGATCATTGTGACTCTGACTAATTTAAGCCATTCTGTAAGTTAATATAAAAGAATCTTGTTAATATATGCTTGCGTTAATATCCATCAAAGTAACAGTAAAACTTACCGTATTCATCAATTAATTTTCCATTACAATTTTTTAAGTAACATATTTCAAATAATCCAAAGGATATTTTATAATCAATTACAAACCAGTAGTTTGTAGATAAAGCGACAAAATTACACAATAAAGTTAGAATTAATAGTATAAAAGTCAGTTTTAGTCTTAATGATGATTTTAGGAAATTTCTGATACATATCATAACTATCCTATTCGGTATATAATCAATATTTAAGCAGTAATAATCTATTTTGAAGAGTGAAGCATATAAAAAAGTGTATCTTCCTCTATCTTCTCTTTCTCTCTCCCTCTCTCTCTCTCTTTTTTCTCTTCCTTCCTTATTATTCTTTTAGTTGGTTATGGTAAATTAATAAGAGGTATATTGAGAAAAGGCAGAATAATAACAGTTGTCAAAGTCTGTTTCTTTTGAAATATAATCCCTCTTCAATATTTTCACATTGATTTTCTCAAGTTTTTTCTATATAATTCTCATATAAAACTACTTACATAATATTAATAAATTGATACATATAAATTAATATATACATATATATATATATATATACTATTTAAATTTAATATCTAATAATTTGATTAATTAGAGCATATTAGAAAATCAATTTTTTCAAATTTTTGTTGTATATATACTTGTATAATAATTTATTATTACCAATAAATAACAAAGAAATAGTGTATAACGCACAGTATAATCTTATCATTTAAAGATGATAGGTCAATTTTAGTAAAGATGGAAAAGTACTCTAGTATTTAACTAAACATACTTTTATTAGAAATTACACATATAAATATTAATATAACCTATTTAGATAAATGATTGAATATTCACTTTTCTTTATGATTTTGCACTTGAAATTGAGAATAAAAAGTGAATTTTTTCTACTACAATAAAACAATATTCAAAATTAAAGTTTCGCCTTTATTCATATTTTATTATTTATTCAATAAAAATTATAGATATAAAGTAGTTTTGTTTGAATTATCCTCTTTTTTTGTTTTAATACAACTGTTCATCTTCTCAATTGATTTTTCGTTTTACATAAGAAAGATAAAGAGAAAAATTAACGTTCTTCCCTTTTTTTTACACATTTAATTTTAATATTTTTGTTAAACAATTAAAAAGAAAAAATAAATAAAAGAAATGGAATTTTCTTTCTTGAATAATTTGAGATTTTTTTTCTCTTTTCTTCGTTTTTTCTTTTCTTCTTCTTCTTCTCCTTCTCCTCCTCCTTCTTCTTCTTCATCCTCTTCTTCGTCTTTTATACTTTTGTTATCACTTATGGCATTTTTTGCGATTGATTTCGCCTAAGAGAGAAAAAGTTTCCACTTCTTTTTTAAAAGCCTATCAGTATTTTTTTTTCTTTTTTTTAATTAACTAACCTAAAAAGATCTCCTCTAAGTATATATATATATATTAGTTATATACATATATATATATATATATGCAGTTATTTACAATTTTAGTTTATATATGATGAAATCTTTAATAAACGAGAATTTAAATGCTCAGCTTTAAGGCTAATTTCAGTTTCGCGCCAAATTTCTTGTAGGCTTTTCCCGAAAATCGTTTGAAAATTTTCGTAAATAACATCAGATTGGTTCTGCTCTTTCAATTCTTCATGTAATTCTTCGATATAGTCTGGAATTCGATGCCATTTACCTAACTTTGGTCTTTTATCAAATGATATAAGAGTTGCTGAATAAGTTGCGAAAGGAGAAACGTAATCAATCGGCTTTTTTACTCCAGAATCAATCGGATCTATTCTATGCGCCTTCGTTATTAAAATAAATGATAATATAGATGAAATTAAATAAAAACTAATTGAACATTTTTTAAAGCTTGTTAAACTGATTAATCCTTTAGCTGCCATCGTAGGGAATCCTTTTATCGAATGTAAAACTTGAAAGCGTTTAGCGCGATTTATAGAAGGAAATTTCACATGACCAAACTTAAGAGATAAGAAGATAAGAACTCTTGTCGTATATATATATATATATTAAAAGTTATTAAACAGTTCAGATAGCTAATTAAACTTGGCGTAGAACGCAGTGTATATGTTTACTTTAATATAACTCTTTAATTAGGTTTATCATTAAAAGAACGATTTATTCGTTTATTTATTCGTTTTTCAAACCTATTAGTTTTATCTTTAGACTAAGTTTTAGACAATAAGCTGTATCCGGTAAAAAACCGGTTTAAGTTGACCCCCTTAGACGGATGTCTGAAAATGATTTTTTTTATGTCAGGTCAAGGCAATAATTCTTATTAACTCCTTAACATTTCAAATAAAAAAAAGCTCCTTTGTCATCATTTTAGCATTTATTGTCAAGTAAAAAATCATAAACTAAATATATATATATATATATATATATAGAATATCTATATCTTTGTATATTCTTATATAAGTTGCTATGTTAACTCTTATCGCTATTAATGATATTCAAGAATATTCTTGAACTATAAAAATTCCATTTTTTTAATAAAACTTGTCTGAACGAAAAGAAGTTTGTTAACTTCTTTGAAAAGAATTCATATGGAAAACTTTTCTAAGAATTTCCATTGCTATTATCCACAATTGGTTTATAATTGTTCCGACCGGTAATAATAGATAATAAAAGGATAACAAATGGAAAAATTGATGATATTATAGATAAAATAATAGAAAATGATAAATTTCCTTTTTCTAATATTTTAAAGTCGGATTCTCCCATTTTAATAAATACAATCCAACTTGTAGTTGTTAATAATCCAATTAAAAACAATGCAATTCTTATGCATGCCCTTCTCCTTGTATTGAGTCCTACTTGAAGCAATATTAAAAGTATGGCAGCTATTTCAACGATGATTAATAGGACAAGACTACTTGTCATTCCGATCCTAACAAATTTTAACCAATCTGTAATAGATAATAGTTTTTATCTATAATCTATATTATATATATATATTTATTTATTTATAGATTTCACGTAATTGATTCTCTTACCTCGTTCGAAGAGATCAATTCCAGGATAATTGTTTGATTTCTCTCCAACACTAATAAACAAACCTGAATGTGAAGAACCAATTTCGTACCAGAATTTTGTTGACAATGAAATTGCATGTATAAATATCATAAATGGTCCAATTGGATAAATCAGTAATTTCATATCTAATAATTCATTTTCAAAATAGTCTCTATTCAAATTTTCACTTTGTCTCGTATGACTTTCAGTGTTTTCTATCAGGCTTACTAAAAAACAATTAGCTAGTGACAGTAATGAGGAAACTATTGCCGTGTAGAAGAAAATGGAGATATAGATGGTATGTTGATTATTTGCAAAGGTTGGATATATAGTAAATAAGATTAATATCCAACTATAGCCAGTTAACATTGAAATTAGTAGAAAGGTAGTAGAAATGAAGAATTTCATATTTGGATGAAGTTTATAAGTTTTATACGTTAAACTAATAAGCCATATTGTATTCATCGTTAGGAAGTAGAAACTTGAGGACAATCCGGTGTCAATTGAATCTAATCTACCTATATAAAGATTTATTTAATAGAGATAAATACAGTATTTTCATAAGATAACTTACCAGTTTCATTAAAGTAACACTTTCTTCCATATTTACAATACTTGAATAGTTCATTATAGATATTACGTTGACCGAACCAGCAATATATTGAAAACGAAATTAGATAAATAATAATATTTAGAGGCAAAATCCAATACTTAATCAATTTCATTCTATTATTTGCATCGAAATATTTAACGATCCACTTATGAAGCATCTTCTTATAGGATTATTACAGAGCAAAAAGGATAAATGTTAGCTTACTAAATGTAATTTCCATCCAATAATAGGAAAATATGATCTATTATGTTAATTAATTTCTATAATAACTTCATTGTTCGTATTACTTCCGAGCTTGTATTCTAATTCTCAATTGTGTAGTAGTATCGTTTTGGAACTTTTTCTCTGTGTGTTGTGGAATATAGTATTTGGTTTACCTCTTGATGACCTTTAACCCACTGCCAATACTAATATAATAGCTTAAGGAAGTTTTTATTACTTCAATACCAAACTTCTTTTCATTCTTCCGACAAAGGTAGATAAGAGAACTTTCCCTATTCCATTATACAAGTTTTTATTAATTTCTTTTATATATTAATGCATAATTCATATATACTTTAGAATTTTACTTTTGATATAATAACCTCAATACACTTATTCTTTCTTTACTTTGTTCCAGTTTTTATTCATTCCCTTTTGTTAATTTGGATAAAGACATATTATAATTCGTAAAAAAGAGATCTCAATATTGTAGGCCAAATTCTTAAGATTTATAGGTCTAATAATTCAACTACGTAGAAAATATCCCTTTTTAAACAGAAAACTCATATAATTCTACTTATCATCATTGAATGAAATTGCAAATAATTAAAACGTAAAAAGATAAGAATTTTGAAATATTATACGAAATATGTTAATATTGCCTACTATCTAAATGAGTCGATTATCAACTATAAAAAGGGTAAAGTTTATTGATTGTTTGACTGTATACAGTATATATGATTACTTTATACATTTGAATAATATTTAAATATCTTTATAATAACAGTTATTGCAAGTGTTCTTCTAATTTAGTTTCCTTAAAATGCACAACTAAAAATAGGCAATTAATATGTATATAAACCCTTAAAAATAGTATGTGAGGTAGACAAGCTCATTCGCCACAATCCATAAAATATATCTACTTCCTCATTTAAGAAAATAGTGAAAAAATCACTTTAATGACTGATTTTCAGATTTCTCGATCGGTATTTCTGCTTGTTATACATATTTGCATTGCTAGTGTTGTTCATATTATATCCCTATCAACTCAAGGATGGCATAATGGCTATGAGAATGTTGGACTCTTTCCCCAGGGAAACATTCCCGGTAAGTACTTAATTAACACTCACGAAATTTTTCTAAGATACTAAATATTTCAAAAGACTGGTGGAAACTTACACAAGCAGCTATGGTTCTAGGTCTAATGTGCCTTATGATTTCGGAAGTTTGCGCCATTATCTCTTTATTGAGTAAACAAAAATACTACCCAAACGATAAAAGAATAATTGCCGGGTTTTTACTTCTTGGATTTATATTTACGACGGGAAGTTGGATAACTTTTGCGGTTGAGATGAGAAAAGAGGACAATAGATTTCTGTTGGGGCTTGCGTCCGATTCAGAGGAAAGTTTCAGCTACTCCTTCGGTCTGGCTGTCGTATCGTCAATTCTCTCCTTCCTCTTAATAATACAAACATGGATAGTAAAAAAGGGAGAGTATGACGATCCCTATCCAACCGATGCTCAAATAGGGGAGAGTATCTATGACAATAATTCACTTGTGTTACGTCCTGCAAACGGGAAAGATGGTGGAGTTAATAGTACAAAAATCCCGTCAACTGCTAAAGACAACTATTCAGCAAACCCTGTTTATAGAGACAGTTTCAATCCGGAAAATGTTGACAATTCACGCTGGAGTGTTTCGGAATTATATAATTTTCATGGTGTTCCTAAGAGTATGTCAAATCAAGAATTTAATTTTGTCCTTTAAATCTATTAATATAGAAAATATCTGTATTTATCATGCTAGTATCCATGCCATAACTATCGTGAATGAATTTTGTAAATATATTCTTACTCACTGCAGATATATGTTTAAAAATAAATAATGATTTCATAACATGGTTATGGTTATAAATGTGTATTTCCTCAATAATAAGTCACTAGAATCACTAATGGTTCGAATTTTAAAAGATAAACAATAAAAACATGCAAAAGCTCGGATTAAATTTCCTTCAACTAATTACGTTTCTTCCGGCTTTATTCATACAAACATTCTCGTTATACTCCGAAGCATGGGTTATAACGTATACTCAGAATGGTAGCATTGAAACTGAAGAGGGGCCGCTCTATGTAAAAGTTGGAGATGAAAACGTACAACAAAATATATTTGATGGTAAATACCATATTGGTTTTGTATTTATTATACATCTGATTCAAAATATCCCGTTTTAGGAACACCTTGGATGATTTTAATACGTATTTTTTTGTTAGCATCTGTCATCTTTAATTCACTCATTATTCTAAGTTTACCATTAATTATTATGATCAGCCGAAGATTTGCACAATTAAAATTTATCCAATATGGAATATTTGCTGCAAACCTCCTATTAAATATATTTTCGCTTTCACTATTTGCAATACTTTACGAGATTAATGCAAATGCAATTCAACTAACTAAAAGATATTACTTACCTTGGTTGTCGGTTGTTCTACAATTGTTACATTTAATTGCAACAATCGCTGAAGAAAATTGCAGTATCTTTGAAAAACAGAAGAAGCTTGGTCACTCAGTTGGTGAAATCGATCTATAAATATCAATATTCCTTTACACTGGATATTTTATAAATTCTTATACTGTATATTTATAGAATAGTAATCTACTATGACACATTCTTAGTTTGAGGAAGAAAATAAACAGACTCTTTTATTTTTAAATTGTCTCTGTGTGATTCACTATACTGTGTATAACTGATTACAAATAAATGAATATTGGTCATTTGGCTTGTAATTCTTCGTTCATGATGAATATTTACACCAGTTTCTACATTTTAAATCTAGTTTCATTTTGATCGTGTTTATAAAATGGCTGACTGTGAGGAAAAGACCACAATTTCTAAATTACAACAAGTGTTTCGATATATTATATTACCTGTTAATCTTCTGGTTCATTGCATTTCTACCTTTACACCTGGATGGTTTTATTTTTCAAATTCAAGTTATGGATTATTCTCAACTTGCTATTCTAAACTTTGCAGTTCAACTGATTACATAAAAAACCATGGTTAGTACAAACAGGATTATTGCCTCTATTTTTTTTCGTGTGTTATAAAATAATTTAATTAATAATTTTTCACTTCAGATTGGTTTTCAATTGTTCAAGCGATGATGACCTCTAGTGGAATACTTTTGATTATTGCTACAGTTGCAGTTATAGCTTCATTTCTAATCAAATATAAGCGACCCGAATCAACTATATTATTCTTATTATTTTGTATGGGAGTATCGTGTATTTTCAGCTTTATCGCATGGATTGTGTTTTCCGTTAATTCGAATGGATACTTTTTTATTGGAGAATTGAATCATATATCATATTCACACTCTTTGGGTATCGTTTCGTCATTCCTGCAATATATTGGATTTCTTATAAATTCTTACTCATTCATAATGATATCCCCGAAAAGAGCATTACCACCTCCAGAAGACAATAATAACGAACAACAAACCAAACTTGAATTTGACAATGATCGTATACACGAACAGCCATATAAAAGTAAACTAAACACTGCAACCTATCGTAGTAATTGCGTAACTTTTGCTTAGTTTTACTATTCAAATGACGTTCATTAAAATCTAATAAATCGAAGAAGTAGTATTTATTTAACAGAATATTTTCTTTTATTATTTAACTAATTTTCCATTAAGTTAATATAATCTTCTTGATCTTTAAGTAATCGAAGAAAAACTGCGTATTTGTTGTCGTGATATCTATTATTATAAATAATATTAAAATAATAAAAAAGTTTGAAAGAATACCTTTTAAAAAAATATTATCTTACCCTTTAGTGTTATTTAGAGGTCGAACAGAACGACCTTCAGAAGCGAAACGAGTGGTACCTTCCTAAAGAATTTATAAATAATATTTCACCCATAACATTTTACGGAAATGAAAGAGAAATGAAATGATAAAAAAAGGGAATAATTGCTAAAGCTAACCAATAAGCTAGTAAAGTAATTTGAAGCGCAAGCACCCAATATTGCTGCTCCTAAAAGTACTGGACTTTGACAGTCGGGAACGATAATATTCATTTCTAAAATGGAAATAATGAGATAAAAAGGGAAAAAATAAGAAAACAAATAATTTTCAAACAATTTTTAAGATTAACTTACGACAAACATCAGCCAAAGTTTGTAAAAATAGCTGATTTTTTGATAAACCACCACATATGTGTAATGTCCGAATATTTATATCATTCTCTTTAATAGTTTCAATAATGTGTCGAGTACCGTACTGTAATAAACCAGATGTTGTTTTTTTTTTTAGTATCTAATCTGAAATTAATAGTTTTTACCGCGAGTGCTTGAATTGTCGCAAGATATTTGATTGCCAAATCTTCAACATCGCTGTTCAATGACAATCCAACCATCTAACATTTTTCAATATAATTAACAAAAAAATATTTGCCACTTTTCGATTAATTTCATTACTTTACCATTCCTTGTCTGTTCGAATCAGCTAAAGGAGATCTATTGCCATGGAAATCAGGACAAATATGTAATTTCTTTGCCAATTGGTAAACTGGAATGCCATCTCTAGATGACATAAATTTGAGTACGTCATGTAAAATTTCTGTATCGTGTTTCTTTCTAAGAAATGTAGAATATGGGTGCAAATTAACACAAATCGATTTATATATACAATAAGATGGCTAACTTGCTTTTAGCTTCTTCCTTAATCCAATCTTTACTTGGGTGACTATCAACAACGTAATCTATCTAAAATTTCCAATAAAATAGAATAGATAAAATTAAAGAAACCCTATAGGAAACTAAATTATGCATCCGTTATAATCAACCTACCAATTTGGCAACTGCACTCTGTCCTGCTTCATTTAGGAACCAGTCTTTCAATATAGCAGATCGATACGGTCCCCATACTCCTTGGATAAACTTTTCCTCTTCAGAAAGCTTTATGTTTATTTTTTTACTTTTATTAGTTAGGTGCATTTGTCCAAATATCTAATATACAAACAATCATATGACATGCTGATGTGCCCGCTATTATTGCCATTTTTGAATTTAGTGGAGAGTCTGAATCATTCTTACAGCTTAAACAACCTTTAGATATAATATTCTTTACGTCTTTCTATGGGTAAAACACAATTTTTTCGTTACCGATTGTCCCCGAATGAGCATCTATTAGACTAATAGCTACAGGTGTTCCAACAGATAAATTAAGATTTTCCGCAGACTCATTTGTTAGCCCATTACCAGAAGGGGTACCCGGACTCTTAATATCTGTTCCTGTTATGCGAAGAAAGTTTACACATCAGACTAGATGTTAGAAAAGGAGCATTATTTTTTTACCAAGCCTTTCGAAGTTCTCCTCTGCTAAGTCTTCTAAACCTACTTGCTTAAAGAAATCAATATTCCAACCTTGAAATTCCTTAGTTTGCAAATAGTTCCATTTGCAAACAAGAGAACATAAACTTCTTGTAGTTGAGCCAGTTGCTTTATAAGTAAGAAAGTCAGTTAAATCCATAAAGTGAACAGTTTTCTCCCAAATTTCAGGTTTATTTCTTTTTAACCAAATTAATTTTGGAATTTGCATTTCGAGGCTGACTTTTCCTCCGACGTAATTAAGGCATTCATTTCTAGTTTCATTGATAAAATCAGCCTCATCCTTTGCTCGATGATCCATCCACATCATAATATTACATCTTGGATCATCTGTTTATAGAAACGTTTCAGGACTGTCGCATGTTTGTACAGTTAAATATTTATATGCATATGGGACCTGTGGTACTAATGCTCAATTGTTTATCTTGTTCCCCTAATAGAACCAAAGAACATGTAGCATCGAAACCTATTCCTTTAATGCTTTCTTTTTCAACGCTTTTTGTTACTGCCTGTAAAGGAGTATGCCTATTTTAAATTTTGTATCAGACACTGAAGCGGACTATTAACTTGTATTGTTCGGGAAACACAATTCCACACTTCCTCCGACGACTGTTCGTAATGACCCGGCTGAGGATTCCATATAGTTAACGCCTCTACGCATTGATCTAAAATTTTCCCATTATCATTTACTAAAGCCGCCCTAACGCTGCTCGTTCCAACGTCTACTCCCACAAAGTAAACACTCATTGCGAATGTCAACCAAAGTGTATTTTATTTACAAAAAGGAGAAAACCGGGTAAATGATCTATATTGGTAGTATGACTTGATCTAATTTATTTAACACATAGAGGACGCCACCGTTAAAAGTCGTACTTAACGAAATATAGCTAAGTCGATATTCTTGGTATAGACGATAAAGGACAAATTAATCGATTAATATTTAGAACTGTGACTCAAACCTAATAATTTCTACAGCTAAGCAATATTCTATGGTTATTCGCTTGTTGTTAAAAAAATCGATTGCTTTGTTGCGATCAAACTCCCAAACTCATATTCGTCAATTTTTGAATATTAAAAGAATTCATCCTTCGGTATGTAACCGTATAAAAATCATAAGAGTTTGGCGATTTGTAAGAATAATATGAAATCTTAGATGCCTGACTTATTTTGAATATTTAACCCATCTCTCTAGCAAACCGCTTAAAAAATTACATCCATTAAATTGATCAATAGACAATAATAACATATCTTTGATAAAAGAGAGAGAGAGAGAGAGAGAGAGAGGTTATAAATATACTTGAAATGAACACTAAACCTATCCGATTTGTATAGATTTCAAATTAAAATCACAAATTATCAATCAGACCAAAATCTAAAGAATTAATTAAATTTATTACACACTTTTCGTTGAATAGATTAGCATGGCGCCCAGCTCTGATTTAGCCAAATTTCGTCATCTATTTGCCGAAGCTAAAAATATTCTAATACTAACTGGAGCCGGGGTTAGTGCCGAGAGTGGTGTTCCAACATTTAGGGGAGCAGGGGGATTATGGAGAACGTTTGCAGCTCAGGTAATAATTAGTCAATTCGAGAAGAATAGATTTTATTTAACGTTAAACCGTCATTTATCTAGAGTGTCGCAACCCCGGAAGCTTTTTCCAGAGATCCATCACTTGTTTGGGAGTTTTATCATTACCGTCGGGAAGTTATGAGAACGAAAGATCCAAATCCTGTTAGTTCTTTATTTAAAAATCTCGATAAATTATACTTACAATGGTAACATGCATTAAAGGCTCATAAAGCAATCGCCGAATGTGAAGAGAGACTTGGCAAGCAAACTAGGAAAGTTACTGTTGTAACACAGAATATTGACGAGTTGCATAAAAGAGCCGGCTCCAAAAATATTATTGAACTACATGGTTAATATAATTAAAGATAATATGTTAAAGCAAAGACGTGTATGCGTATACAAACAGGTTCTCTCTTCAAGGTCAAATGTTTGACATGTGATGAAGTAACGGCGAATTATGACAGCCCTATTTGTCATAGTTTGGCAGGAAAAGGGTAATTTTATAGTCTTCCAACTTGTAAAGTTTACGAATATTTTTTAAGTTTATAAAAAGAGATAATGATGTATACAAACTTCTTAAATTCCAAAATAGATTGGATAACTAGTATTATGCAATCCAGATCTCCCGATAAGAATGCTATCGACGCCAAGATACCTGAAAAGGATCTGCCAAGATGTAAACCTTGCGGAGGCCTGCTTCGCCCACACGTCGTCTGGTTTGGTGAACAGTTAGACAAGGACGTTTTAGAGAAAACCTATGAAGTAATGGACAAATGCGATCTTTGCCTAATTGTATGTATTAAGACATCGATTGTTATAATATTACAATGCTGATCGCTTAAAGATATACTATATGTATTTTTTTTTATAGGTGGGAACTTCATCTGTTGTTTATCCGGCGGCAATGTTTGCTCCTGAACTTGCTAAAAAAGGAGTACCCGTTGCCGAATTCAATTTGGAAAAAACTCCAGTGACATCCGACTTCCGGTACATATCTCAATATTGTACTTTTCCCACGAAATACGATAAAAAAAATTCTCTTTTTTCCGCCTATAGATTTCATTTTCAAGGTCCATCAGGAGAGTGGCTTCCAAAAGCTCTAGCACCACTTGAATAAAGGATATATTTTGAATATTTATCAATCTATTCTCTCTTTAACTTTTAAATTATACTAATTAACTCGTTACGCTATTATGAACTATGAGAAAGAGCCAATTCAAATCAACTTTTATAATGTATGTGTATATATTGTAGATAGATTGTTTGTAATGTTAATAGTCATAAGAATAAAAGTGATCAAACTTTTTTTTATCATTAACGTCAACAATTATTAAAGAAGCTATCTTCTATTAGATTTTATTAGGTAGCCAGCTAATTTATAGGTCAAGGATTTTTAATACCGTAAATACTTTCCCTCGGTTACAACAGCGCCTATTATATAGGAAATACCAATTCAATGATTCATATATATAAGTATACAAAATATACATGCGTATAAATGCCAAATAGGTTACTTGTGAAAAAAAGACCTGCTTTTAAACCACTCTAATGATTATATTTAGTTTTCTTTAGTTTGCGTTATGTACAGTATGTGCCGTGTCTACATATATATTTTATAAATATTGATCTGAATATCTGACTAGGAAATTTGTCCTTTGATGAATAATATTTGCCCTAACGCTTTTCTTAGATATTTCTATAATACAGTTCACTGAAAGATTGTTACTTTTGCCTTAAAAAAACAAGTCCGGCCGTTCCGGCCGTTAAAATTTCTACAAAATAAAGTTAGATATCAAAAGAACAAACTGACCTTTAAGAGAATTGTATATAAAAATTCTTTGATTGTGTTTTTCCTCTTTTTTTTGTTTTTCAAGCTAAAGTCGTGTTTAATCTATTCACCTTAATGTTCTAATTAGCCTTATTTATTAATCGTAAAACTGACCCCCATAGTTCCTTATCAACTAATCTATTTAATATATATATATATATATATATATATATTGCCATATTATACAGTATATAAAAAAGAAATATATAGAGAAAGAGTTTGAAATGTTAATGCTATATTATTTTATCACTTTAAAAATGGCCTCATATAATAAAATAACATGTTGTCTGAAAAAGAAAGAGAAAGCAAGAAAATCGTTGACTCAATCAATGCAGACGATTAATATCAATTAAAGTCTTATTTACGTAAATTGCTAGTTTTGATACATTTTTTTCTTTAATTAAATCAAGTTTTTTTTTGATACTCTAAAAAAATCTCACAGATTTGACCTAAAAGCTTGGAAATGTCACAAAAATATCTGATATTCACTATTCTAGTTGTTGTGAAAATAAATGTACAGTGACACACCATTCTAAATGTCGAAGGCAGCAAGGTGAGCTAATATTACTAAAGATTACACAAATAAGTAACATCGAAGGGGGCGCTTAAAAATATAGAAAAGAGAAGCAGCAAGTGATGTATATATATATATATATATACAGTATATATATAGTATATACTTATATAAAAAACGAGAATTATCTTTATCCCTAATCTATGTATAAATAATGTTCCTAAGTCTTATCAACAACTCATACAGTTGTTACATTGTATCTGAATTACCGTAGAAATTATCATATAAACTCAATCGTGCAGTATATCTACTATACATGCACGTATAGAAAGTACATTTAGCATAAAAATCTCAAGGTGCTATATCTTTTATTATATAAAAAAAACACAGTTATTATCTAAATCATCTTTTTCTTTTTTCTTTAATTCTTTCAATTTTTCATTTATATCAGTGAATATAAATCATATTGTTATATTTTTCTTTTTTATCATTCTACCAAATTACATACATGTATATATTGTATATATTTCCATAAATATTCCCTATTCTATATCTTCCATGTACTTAGAGTATATAAAATTAAAAAAAAATGTACTTGGCTTAGTTTCTCCTCTCTTCTCTCTCTCTCTCTCTATGTGTGTGTCTGTCTGTCTGACTCTCTCTCTCTCTCTCTCTCTCTGTGTCTCTCTCTCTCTCGCTCTCTCCCACTCTCTCTATCACTGTCTCTCTATTTTCTCACTCTCTTTCCTACAAAACTTACCCAAAATATGGAGGAAATAAAGTAAGAGTTAACCCTCTCTTTATCTGTTTAAGTAGAGTAATATCATAATCTTATAATTATCCTATGAATAAAAAGAGTAACTTTCATAGCTAATCCATATGTAGAATATTGTATATAGACAAAATATGTGTATAGGCGTGCGTAATAGGAATGGGTAAAAGGTTGTAAAACATTCTACAGATCTATAAAAGCAAAAAGAAATAACCATTACAAACCAGTTATGAAATTAGATTATTAGAAGTTGAAAGAATTTCCTTTAAATTGAAGAGTAGGAGTTAAAAAACAAAAGAAAGGATTAACAAAGAGAAAGTAAGAATATAACTAAGACAAATAAAATACATTCTTTAATGTTGTACAAGTAAGATTTCTTTTATTAAATTAAATGGGCAAAATATTAATATTTATCGTTTTGTGAAATTTTCCACAAGCATTTTATTATTTCGATTCATTTTATGCATTTCGACTCTTCTTAGAGATATATCTTTTCGTGAGAAATGGAAGAAAAGAAAAAGGTCACGATGGATTTTTTTTTCTTTTTTGAGGATAAGTTTTCTTATCTAAAAATAAACTGGTCTTCTTCTTATTCATACTTATTCTCTCTTTCTCTCTCTCTTAGTTTATTTATCTATCTATGAATGTCTCTTCCTATGCTTTTCTCGGTTCTCTTTTTTAGCTGTCCCCTCCCCCTCTCTACTTTTTATTCTCTCCGGATCTCCGTCCTTTATGCTCGTGGACCTTTATCCTGTTATTTTTACAAATTTTGAAAGACTAAAAGAATTGGAAGAAAGGATGATTAGGTTAAATGGGTCCGTATCCATCTCTCCTCTATATTGTACTTAAATACTCTAGATATAAGAATGATGGGTTATGATAACTAGTCAAAACACGAGTTTGGTTGAACTGTCTCGATTTTAGTTCTTACAATATGAATTCTTTACATGAGGAAAAAGGCTATAAATAGCGATCCTGCTATACAGCCCAATGATACACTGGGATATACGTAGGCCTGTAAAATCTCTTTTTGTGTAAAACATTCGACTATCATATAAACAATGAGTGAAAAAGCTAGATATGAAGAGCATGAGGGAGGGGTGATTTTAAATAGACCTAATGTTTTCAAGGTGAATCGTGATTATCATCATGTATAGGCTGATGATAGTTAAAAAAACGGTACAGTTAGAAATAAAAGGAGAAATATAAACTGATGAGGTCAGTCTTAGTCTGGAATGGCTGGGAATGTTTGCTTTACCTATATGTATAAATGTTATAAAACTCTCTACAATATTTTTATTCGATAATCTATTAAATGGCTGTCCTATTGGCGCTTCGTAGCCTCTTCGATTACTTCAGACCAGACTCTCTCTCTCTCTTTTTTTTTTTATTTCGTCCATTATCTTATAAATTACCTACCTAACCTAATTTTTTTACGATTTCTATAATAGTTATACGTAGTTATAAGCAGCCACCAAAAAAAGACTAGTGCCTGATTCCTAATATATCTATTCTATTCAATTATAATCGAGTGAACAATATCTTCGTAACCAACGAATTATAATAATAATATTAATTAATATTACATGAAAGCCCCTTTTCATATCCACCAATCCACGTGTATAATTTTTGAACTGCAAAATAGTATATCAATATTTAAACAAGACCAATGTCACCTTGACAGGCCTAGATATATTACGTCAAACAAAAGTTTCAATCCTCCTTAACTTTAAACCAGTAAAACAGGTCATTTATCAATGTCAAGATATTTCAATAAATATAATATTGGGTAAATTAATTTACAAAACTGTTTGCTCCTTGCTATCTATCACTTCCGGTGTTCCCTTTCTTTACTATTGGGTACTATTTTTAGATTTACAATTATTCATTACTAGCTGCCCTTAATAATACCCTACTAATTAGTACCATTTTGATTAGTTGATAAGAATCAAAGCTTTTTCTACTCTCATTAATGAATAGAAAGATTATTAACGTTATAGTGTTTGGAAGTAAATTTAATAAATTAATATATCTAATTAGATTGAACAATCCTAATTAATAACGTCCCTAAAATAATATAATACAAGGAATAATCTAGATGAATTTTAATAGTTAAATTCTTTTTTTAACCGTAAGAAATATCCTTCTCGTACTTTTTTTTTGATGAAGCTTAGAAAACAAGTAGCGTAGAAGGAGCCACTAGGAAAATAGGTGTCGCTTCGAAAACAAACTACTTTCATTCTCCTATTTAGACCCTGAGTCTGTAGCACGATGTCAGGCGGCAAGTAGCCGGTTTCAGTTTCAGAAAAGAAATATCTCTCAAAGTAAACGTTATTTTATTATGCTGATTAGCTCTTCATGGCTAAGAATTCAAATCATCATGATGTCGAAAAGCAAGCGGAATCAATTAAAGAACCCGCTGAACAGACAAATGTCCCGTTGCCTACGCAAAAAGATGGCAATAGTCTAAAATCAGACGACACAAGCGTCCTACCCGAACGCGATCAGTGGGCAAATAAATTGGATTTTGTCGTATCCTGTATTGGCTTCGCCGTTGGACTGGGTAACATTTGGCGTTTTCCCTATCTCTGTTATAAAAATGGAGGAGGTAAGAATTAATCCATTTAATTTAAATATTAATAAAAGTGTAATAAAAAATGTACATGAAGGCGATATAGTTATAAAAAATCAACTTGTACTCTTATACATATATATATATATATATATATATTTATACATATATAGATATATATATATATACATATATATCTATATATATACAGTATATACATATATATATATATCTACCCGTTTTTATCGGAAAAGTCTTATTTCTGGAACGTCGATTTTTATTGATTCGTAAAAACTTACTTCTATAAAGAGGAAAAAAATCTGGTTACATGGTTATAAAGGCGAATAAAAGGTTCTTCTAGGTTGTACTATCAAACAACTAATTATATTATAAACCGGCACAGGAACAAATAACTCTACAGATGTCTCTCTTTATCTAATGCTTGTGTCGCTAACTTGAGCAGACGTCAAATCATGTAATGTGTAAAATACCTAATACATAATACATATATATATATATATATGTATGAACAGTTAGAGATGTTGATTTATGAGGACAAAATACTTTCTATAAGCAAATATTCAATTTAAATAATGAAAAAAAAAGGAATATTTTTTTTTAAAAAAAAAATTATTATGTAAATATCTCAATTATTTTTAATATATATTGAAGGACTGAATGAGAGAAAAAAATTAATAAAAAAACTATATAAGCTTTCCATTCAATTAAGCTTTACTTTTTTTTCTACACTAGGAATTGGAAATGGTAGACGATTAAATTTTATTTGGGTGATAAGGCCTAATTGTTGTTATTAAAAGAGCATAAAATTAGAAATATACTAATATATATATATATATATATATATATATTACTTTCATAAATAATGTATAAATTATTAAATACTGAGAAAAATGTGAATATAAGATGTTTACTTTTAATCCTCTTTATAATATTAATTGAAATTCTTTAACCTTTATAGGGGCGTTTCTTATTCCGTACTTCATATGCTTGATATGCGGTGGAGTACCGATTCTCTTCTTGGAAATATCTTTGGGTCAATTCATGAGACAGGGTGGATATGGAGTGTGGAAAATATGTCCGATATTTCAAGGTAATATCTATTTACTAGGGTTACGCTTGAAAATCCAACTATAAAATCTCTATTCTGCTTATTTAAATAATATTGCAAGGAATCTGTCCTATTAAAACAGTCTAAATACAATCGTACGGTCCTGATTTTTTGCTAGTTAAACAAACGTTGATATTCTAAGGTCATTAACCATTTTATCGTTTAAAATATTCTATTCCCTGTTGTCGGTGACAACGTAACTTATCCCCATTAAACCGACTTACTTTCGCAGTCCTACACCCAACCACACTTTTAGTTGTAACAACTTGAAAAATTTCAAATTCTTTGGTATGAAATGAATAATCAAAAAAATTGAATGGAATAATATAGTTATTATTATACTTTGTCCCGTACAATTCATACTGATATATACTATTTGACTTCAAAAGTCTTGAAAAGAATGAGCATAGAAAGAAAAACTCCCACGAAATTTGTCCTTTTAGCTATTCACCTCTTTCTTGTTTTCAAAATTGTTTTGACTAAGACTTTTTGGATAAAAGTCAACATCATATTGTAATTGTTAGCCTATGACTTTTTGACAGAAAACTACTTTTTACGAATCAATCTCAAATGGTTCTATCTTCTCTACTTAAAGATTTGCCTTTATAATTTTACTGATTACTTTTTTTTATTTCTAAAAACATAAAATAGATATATTCAAGTATATAATATATTAAAAGATATTCTCCCACTAATAGAGGTCAACAATATACCATAAAGAGAATACTAAAACAAAATATCCACTTCATCACCTTTAACTTTTTAATATTCCGTCCTTGAAACGTATACAACAAAATTTCACGTGAACAGCCATATACCCTGAAATCGTCAAGGTTATCGCCGATGAAAGTGATATATATACACTTTCTTTTATAAAAAAAAAAAACAAAAACAAAATTAAACTATTCTTAAATAGTAAAATTAAAGAAAAAAGCTAATTTTCTTTTTTTTAACATACTATTCATACTATTCCACTCTTATATATATATATATATATATATATATATTAATTACTGTTTAGCATATGGAATCCGTCGGAAAACAGATATAGATACTGTAGATAGTATATTTCAATAAAGAAAAAAAATTCCAAGCTAACTGAATTTCTGCTTACTTAAGCTGTCCTTATTTAAGTTCTTGCAAAAACATGAATAAAGATTACAAGATTCTATACGATTAAGCTATTATGACAATTTGCAAGATATGTCATCAATAAACTATGTAGGCCAGTCCTTAATCCGTAAACTATTACCGTATGAATTTCTCTTTCTCTTTTCTTTTTTATTATTAATCTGGCAAATTCTTGGAAAATTTTAGTATAATATTTTCTTTTTTTTGATCCTCTACAGGAATTGGATGTGCAACAACAGTGATAGCTTTTCTTATGAACAGTTATTACATAATTATAATCGCATGGGCAGTACACTACTGCTTTAGTTCATTTACATCCGAATTACCATGGTCGCATTGTAATAACTCTTGGAATACCCCTAATTGTTCGACTTTTGAAAGCGGTGCGAACTATACAAATGACTCGAACAGAGTAGACTCTGTTGTTCAATTCTGGGAGAAAAAAATTCTCAATATATCGGACGGAATAGATAACCCGGGAGGTATTGTTTGGCAGAACGCCGTTTGCCTTCTTTTTGTTTGGATAGTTTGCTATTTCTGCGTATGGAAAGGTGTTAAATGGACTGGAAAAGTTGTGTATTTCACCGCTCTATTCCCTTATTTAGTTTTAACAATCCTGTTAATAAGAGGCGTAACTCTAGATGGAGCTATCGATGGTATTACATTCTATTTAAAACCAGATTTTAAGAAACTTGGAGATTCTCAGGTTTGGATCGATGCTGGAACACAAATTTTTTTCTCTTACGCGATTGCTCTTGGAGCAATGACAGCTCTGGGTTCTTACAACAAATTCCACAATAACTGCTACAAGGACTGCATAATTGTATCCTTGGCAAATTCATCAACAAGCTTGTATGCTGGTTTCGCTATTTTTTCAGTACTAGGTTTCATGGCTAAACAGCAAGGTATACCCGTCGACGAAGTAGCGGAAAAGGGACCTGGCTTAGTTTTCATAGTCTATCCAAAGGCTGTTACCCAAATGCCTGTGCCAACTCTTTGGGCTATTCTCTTCTTTGTTATGATTTTTCTGCTGGGCTTGGACAGCCAATTTGTCGGTATGGAATCTTTCATAACAGTTATTGTCGATTTATTCCCGGTTTTAAGGAAGAAGTGGTACAAAGAAACATTCGTTGCCGGCTATGTCGTATTATCATTCCTCATTGGTCTTAGTATGGTGACTCAAGGAGGAATGTACGTTTTCCAATTATTCGACTACTACAGCGCTTCCGGAATGACATTACTATGGGTTTGTTTCTTCGAAGCCATAGCTATCGGCTGGGTTTACGGTGGTAAAAAATATTACGATAACTTAGAATTAATGCTCGGGTTCAGAATTGACCCCTGGTTCCGTATCTGTTGGTCAGTAATGACTCCGGTGGTTACTTTCGCAATATTCATTTCTGTGTGGGTAACATTCGAACCCTTAACTTACAATCGAACCTATGAGTATCCAGGCTGGGCTCAAGCCATCGGCATGTGTATGGGTTTCATATCTATGATATGTATACCCTTATACGTACCTATTGCTCTCTTTAACGCTAAAGGAAAAACTCTTAAACAGGTAAGCATTTCCTCATCCTTTGTTAAACTACTCATTTTTCCATCAAAAACCATTAACATCCAGAAAGCCTTCTGCAATAGAATTAAATATTCATCTGCTCCATTTAGTCTAAGCTAATTTTTTAAACATCTTTTATTAATAAATATACGATAGAATTTAGGCAAACTAGGATGACTGACGTACATGGTATCATTTCCTTTTCAATTACATTTTAAGACTTACAAAAAAACTTGTAATTTCCGTCCCTCTCTCTCTTCTCTCTCTTTCTCTTTTTATATAATAGCTTAAGATCATAGTACTACTCTTGCTCTTATCAATCATAACGGGAATAATACATATTCCCTTCTCAAATTGACAATAGTTTTTAACGGCATAACTGATAATCATTCTCTCTTTTCTTTTAATTCTAATCTATAAAATTTATTCTTATAATAAATATATGATTATTCTCTCTAAATCTTTGCATTTATTCGTCTTTAGCGTATAAGGGACGCTACAACTGCAAAATTACAAGATTTTCAATTGAGTAAAGGCTCGGATGATTACGGAAAATTTAAAACCTCAAAGCATATGCTTGAACCTTCCTTAGACTCTCTTCTACCTCTAAAGAAGGACATCGAAAGCTAAATAAGTTTCTAACATTGATGGAAGATCCTGTATATTTTATTCTAGTAGGTTTTCAAGTCGTTAAAGACTCAAAAATATTGTGTAAATAAACAACTATAAAAAGATTAGCTTAATAAATTATTACTAATATTTTATTGTTATTTATCATTTATTTTTATTTATTTATTTATTATTTCAATATTTTTCTCTCTAAAAAAAAAAAGAAAATCAAATTAAATCAAATAAAAACAAACAAAAGAAAAGAAGCTTAACAGCAATATTATACTTTTCAGAAATTTCTCTACATATTATTACCTACCTTCCCACCGGAAGTTGAAAAAGCCAAACTCGAAAGAGAAGAGGCACAATTCGATAAATTAAAAAGCAACATTTGTCGCTTATAATTAATTTATAATCTATTCAACTTCCAATTTTATATATTTCTTTTGCTTTAGTTTTTGTTAGTATATGTCTTGCTCTATTTTTAATTAGCTAAACTTACAAAAGCGTATATCATCTATAAATCTTCTTACATCGTATTATCTCAAGTCTATTATATACGTTTAAAACTGTTTATGCTAAAGAGAAAGGAAAAGCTGATATACATATTATGTATGTATATATATATATATCTTAGTATTCTCTATTTCTTATATTCATCTTAATCCTATTAAAATAGGAGAGTTTCTCTTTTTCTTTCTATCTTTCTTTCTTTCCTTTTTCTTTCTATCTATATCTCGTTATATATACAGTCTATACTGTTATACTCTATGTTTTTCTGCAACAATTATGAAATATAATAGATATATTGTCTTTTCATTGAATAATAAATCCAATGCTTAAATTACTATAATATATATTAAATTTTGATCATAGAATTAATACATCTTGTAATATATATTACAAGATATGTATATAGTTCTATACTATATATATATAAACAATATATATTCGCTAATTATATTATAGAAAAAAAGACAACCTATATGGATATTGTCAGTACAGTTTTAGGCGCCACCAATGATTGTTAATTATTTTAGATAACGTAAAATAATTTCTTACTCATAGGCCTACAAATTGCATTCATACCGATTAAGTATGCTGTTGGTATTTTCTATCATACAATTCATTTGTATTTGTAGCATTCACGGTAAACCTTTAATATTAAAAAAGAATGATACTTTCTCTTAATTTAGATATGTAAAAATATATTGTTTCTATATATAGAGAATACGTAAGTAAATATTTAAAAATGCTTTATGTTTTAGGGTTTGATATAATTTGTCCTGATAATCAATTTATACATATTCGCCATTGCGGAGAATCTGAGAATGATAAGCATTCTTGTTCATTAATTGTTGAATATTGTGAAAATAAGAAACAGTGCTCTTTGGATTTCAAAAAATTACCAATAGAATATGTATGCTTAAATGGTAAGTTTTTTTTCAATGTTTATATTTGAGTACTGTATATTTATATATGTAAGATAACATCAATCTATCTGTGAATCGTATTATATGTATATCTTTGTGAGGATGTATTTGCTATATAAATATTCATATATATTTATATAGAAACATATTTTTTTCTTGTTTTTAGACGAATACCTAGTACGTATGTGTTTAAATGAAGATTTACAAGCAAATAAATTTAGTCTAATATATAAGAAAGAAGAAAATATAACTTGCTCTTGTTTCCTTTATCCCAATCAATCGAATATTCATATTTATTTAACAAAACTACACTTTGGAAATGTTAATGATCAGATTAATTGTGAATATGCAAATAAAAAGTTAATTATTTTTAAACATACACCTTATGGAAGAAAACTTGCACTGCAACTCTGTTCATCGAAAATCATTAGAAAATTTCAAGTTTTTTATAATAGCGATACGATTGTTGAATTACGATTTTTTAAACAATCCGACCTATCCCTATTCGTCGAAAGTAAAGAAACGTTGAATGTTTCTTGTAAACCTGAAGAGAAGATAAAGCTATTTCCGATAAGCGTAACTTATCCTGTAACGGAAATGAATAGTGAAAGTGGAGGAAGGCAAGACAAAGCATCAGACACCGTAAAGAGTAGTAAGTTATATATTGAAAAGAAAAAAGATATTTTGACCTTTTTCTCTATAATACTAAGTATTATTATTATTATAATATTAATAGGTAAATACTACAACTTGTTAACTGGTCTTATCATTGTATGCGTTGTCTTCTTTCTAGTAATGATTCTAGTCCTATTCTATTGGAAAGTTACAAAACTTGTTCAGAGGTAAGTACTGTAAATAAAAAACTTTTACGCTAAGAGTGATATTTAATTACTTTGATATTAACTGGTAAATTGTAATTTTTATCAATTATCCATACAATTAAGCTTGTGCACGGGTAGAACGATTATACAGTAATTTTATCATTATGTTACCCTGTTTACTATCTATTTCCAACTTTTTACCGGAAAGATACAAGTACAATCTTTCACATTGAGAAATTTTACTTATGTCAGATTCGGTTACGTTATTTAAAAATAAATCAATTGTAATGGTAAAAACAAGAAAGGAAGGAATGACTCACGCTTTTTTTCAGGATGCTACTAAGACAATCATCTAGGTTAGAAACGGATTCTGTAGCTGCAGCCCAATTTTTAAATTACGCCTGTAATTATCAGAACGCTATGCCTACTAATGAAAAGATTTTAGATAATCGCCAAAGTTTTAGGCCACTTGAATCAATTATTCCTAAAGATATGACTTGCACTAGTTGCAGATCACAATATCCTTATGAAATACCTAATGAATTCAATTTTCGACATTCCCTACCTCATATTCGAGGACATTCCGAAAGTAATCTTGCTAGTTTATCAAACCAAGGAATATTAAAGAAGCCGTCAGAGGACATTGAACTGCCGTTTAATGAAGAGAGAATAAGAGAAAATCAATTTGAAAACGAAGGAGATTACGCAGTACCTAAAGAAGGTTTTAGGTATTCGAGTTCTGAAGCTGAGGATGACAATGCTGCTCCTAAACAAGCTAGATTTGATCCCTCAGTTGAAGTCAATTTTGTTCGAAGTTCAAGCATTTCTTATCCTGCTAGACCAAAAATGGGTTTAAATGGTTTCGGAAAGTTTTCAACAGTTGGCCGTAAAAAGGGAAGGAAGCATTTTGAATTTGTTAAATTAAAACGAAGAGTAGCTGATACATCGATAGAAATTAATGATGTTTGCGATAAAGTAGCTGAAAATGAATCGTATAACCCGTCTATTACTAATTAAGTTTGCTTTATTATCTAAATAACACTTATTTTACTCATCATCAATAATAAACCATACTAACAAATTCTGAAGTTAGCAACACGAAAAGAGAAGCTTTTTATTCTAAAAATTTGTGCTAATAGTGCTTTTCCCTATTTCTGTCTGCATTTTTCTCTCATTTTCCTTGTCTCTTTTGTATACTTGTAAATACTTTTACCTCAAATTGCTTACGTTTTCTTGTATTTTTGTGCATAGATTGTACGAAAATATATATATATACATATATATATATATATATATATATATATATATACTGTATATATATATAAAACATAGTATTTCAAACAAACAAACAAACATATTGTTAAATAGGAAAAATAAACCTTTCGCTTCTGTTCTCTCTTCATCTTTTTCCATGTAACCAATAAGTTTTCATTTCACCTTTGCCCTATAAAAGTTTCAACTATCATTTCTCCTTTTATTTATCCAGTAATACATCAATTAATTAAAAAAAATTCTTTTCTTATTTACCTTAATTTCCAATGTTCCACGAAATTCACAGTCAAAATTTCCAAATTCTTCAAGAATTTCATAAGTACTTAGACTAATATGAATTCTATAAGCTACGAAATCGAAAATACAAGTATATAAATAGACCTTGTTAAAAACTAAATGTTATTCTCTTTTCCCAATTCTCAAGAATATTATAAACAAGAGAAAACTAAAAATATCTATTTCCTTACCTTGACCATTGCTCTCCATCCGACTAGCTGTATTCACAGTATCGCCAAACAAACAATATCTAGGCATCTTTAGACCAACGACTCCGGCGCAAACAGGGCCACTATGTAGGCCCACTCGGATTTTCAAAGGTTCTCCTGGCATATGGGGAATAACGAAACTCTTTGCTGCATTAACTAGCTGGATAGACATCAAAGCTATTTGACTTGCGTGCTCTTTACCGTTCCTCACAGGAACTCCAGAAACAACCATATCTATATAAAATATAAAGCATATTTCTTTTACAGACTTTGCTAATTAATAACTATTAATATGTCAAATGTAAATAACTTACAAGCATCTCCAATTGTCTCAACTTTATATACGTCAAAATTATCAATTATGGAATCAAAACAAGTATAAAGCTTATTTAATAAGCCAACAACCTGCATCGGCGTCGAATTACCAGACAGATTAGTAAAGCCAACAATATCACTATTTTAAAAAATAAATTATTCATCTTTATCGTCTGTTCATTCAATAAAATATATTTAATATGTTCACCTAAAGTAGATGGTACAGGCTGAATACTGTTCCGCACCTATGATTCTACCGTGCCTTAGTTCATCAGCTACAGCCCTTGGTAGCATACTGTAAAGAAGTCTATCCGTCTTCAATTTCTCTTGTTCTAAATCGGATGTACGATCCGCTACAAGACTTTCCAAGTGTTTAGAATATTTTTCCATCTGGAAATTAATGATAAAATTAACAAATACAATAAGTCATGGTAGACTGTAGATTCACCATTAACATCATCATATCAACAGGACTCCTTCGATCAGGATTCATCTTCTTTAGTTTCTTCTTAATTATGTCAAAAGTTGGTCGTTCGGACACGGTATTGCTATAACATTCTTGAATGAGCTGCAGGATAAATAGGAATGAGCTTGATATATGATAATAATCATTAAATATTACTTTATTGTATTCAACTGGAGAAGGGCATTTTACATCTTCGTCGTATACTTTATTCGATAGATCAGGCAGGGAGGGCTTCCATCCTATTTTAACTGTTGCAAAGTCTTCTTCCTAATAGTATAATTATCTTATAAGTTAAAAAACAAGAAACGTGAAATATAAAACATTTAATACAGAAAAAAGACTTTCATGAAGGGTATGCTTACCCCATATGGATCCTGCCTTGTAGCTATTTCAATAAGTATTATACCAAACGCGTATACATCGGCTTCAAAGGATTTGCGAGTGCCGTTTGTACAAACTTCAGGAGCAATGTAAACTACATCTTTTAATCTCTTTTCGTTTTCTTTCTCGGATTCTTCACTTCTATAAGTTTCTAATCCATAGTCTGTTAGAGGCAGAATTAAGGGATTGATAGCCGCCAATTAGACTCGGTACTTAACGCCCCTTACCTGATACTCTTACTGACCATCTATCATCGATCACGCAATTAGATGACTTTAGTCTTCCATGAATAACATTTTTAGAATGTAGATAGCTCATAGCTCCTGCTATATCTAACGAGAAGGAAAATCTAAAAGACCAATTGAGGGGTGTACTTTCAGATTGGAGCAAATCGCTAAGAGCCCCTTTGGGGCAATACTCTGTTATGAGTGCAATGTTTGGAAGATTTATACAGCCTCCAACAAACTTTACCAAATTGGGATGGTCAAGTTGGCGAACGTTTTTAACCTCCTGTCTTATTAACTTGCTTAAAACGAAGTCGGATTTAATTAGATTTTTAACTGCGACCATCTTTCCTTCACTGTTAAAAGGAATCATATATATTAACATTTTAGCGGTACTTACTTACTTAGTTAGTTATACTTACTATATTCCAACTGGTGTAAATAATTGACTATCAATATTCCCTACTCCTCCGCTGTTGCCAGATTTTAAACTTACGCAACTTGGAACAAAATGCTTGGTTGCAGCTTCTATTTAATAAACAACAACAATTATGGTTATTGCAAAAAGAGTAGGAGTACGTAAATTTCTTATTCATACCTGATACTATAATATCATAATCTAATATCCAACTTTCATCCCATAATAATTTTCTTTCCTTGTACTTGGAATACTGTTAAATAGTGTTTATTTATAAAGAATACTTTATCCTAAAATAGGTGAATGACAATAATTAATACTTACTCCGATCACTGTTAGAAAAGCGCTTACAATTATGCCAGCTGCGACGGCTATTAGAGCTATTTGATATCCTTTTAGCGGGCATCTCCCACAGTCTTTCGGACATGTGCTGCAAGTTTCCTCTTCTTCACATTTATCATCTCCACAAATTGTTTTGGGGAGTACTTCAATGGATTTTTCTAGAGCTATATGAAGCTCTCCAACTTTAAAATGAGCTATTAGTGATGTTTCGCCAACAGTATATAATCCCAATATTTGCGATGTCCATTCTCTGATGGAAGAAGATCCTATCATAACTTTTGAATGGGTAAATATACTGCCAGATGATGGAATCCATGGTCCACACAATCCATTTTTAACTAACTCAACTTCAGCCAAGGGACATGAGTGAACATTGACATGATGGATACAACAATTCTCTTGGTTTGCTGCCTTCGAGTCATCTGGACAGGCGGTATTCTCACACCATTTTTGAGCAATAACAGGATCTCTAAACAAAAAATAAAAAACTAGATCATCAACATAGGAAGAATAAACTCCTACGTGATCCCTCCGTTGCTCGAAGCGAAGAAATTTAATTTAAAGCTTCCAGCGGAAGAAACTGCCCAAGTCCAAAACTCTGAATCGAAAGTCAAATCATAAGTGACATTGAAAGCTTTTCCCGCCTTTATTTCAGCCGGAGGTGGTAAAATCCATTTAATGTTGATACCTATCAATATTGAAATTGTAAAGTATATAAATTAAACAAATTAATACTTTATATAGCCTCAAGGGTAAATATTAAATATAGAGTATATAGTACATCTGAAAAGGGATAGAATACAACCTTGGTAAAAGTTTCATATATAAACAATATCTTTTATACATTATATAGTTTGCGGAAGTTGTAAAAACAGAAAGAAATTCTATAAATATAATATATTACATGTATATATAGATGATAGAAAATAAGTCCAAATGGACATAGATTCGATATGACCAAAGATTTGCACTATGATCAATATTGATTGGAGAAATTTTATATAATCGAAAATATCAAGTCTATAAAATCAGTTTAGTAGTCCAATTAAATATATATACACATCAGCGAACAATAAATGTATTTATGAATATTATCAATTAATATTCGTATATAGATTGATTATTTTCCCTATTGTATTTTACTCTACTCTGGATTTTAGTATCATAATTACAGAAACGACAAGATCTGTAGTAATAGTAAGAACTTGTTAATTAATTCTTTATCATAATTAGAGAATATTTCACGATTGAGTGAATATCCATTATTGGTGTATAGTTATATTTATTATCATACCTGGACAGGTAGAAAATGGTACTGGATTCTGAGAGCTGGCTGATAAGGGCCAACAATGAAAATCTGTGTTACCCAAGTCGTGCCAACAACTAATTTCAATTAGTTGAATTTGAAGGATTAATATCTGTTGAAATAAGTTTTGTTTGTTCATAGTTTTTAATATAGTAATAACGTAATTGAATAATAGTAATATTATTTTAAAACAATTTGAACTATAAACGAATATGCGGGACACGCAAAACACTGTATAATCATTATTGTATGTATATTTTCTAATATACTGTATACTTTACTTACGGTAGGATGAGAAATAGCAGTATATAGAATTTAATAAATTATACGAAAGTATAATAAATGTAACGTAAAGGTTTAATAAAACAATAGCAACAATATATCCATTAAAGACTGCACGCTAAAGTGAACGAGAACACTAAAATTTTGGGCTAATGAGCTATACATTAGATAGGAATTGAGAGATAAATTATTACCTCCTACTTAATTACCAACAAAAAGATATATTTTGTTTAAAATATAAAGAGGTCAGAATAAAATAGAAACAAAACTTTTTTTGAAAGATGTTCAATTTTTTATGTTTCTGCTTACTATATTTAAATGATTTTTAGTTATAAATACGAAATAATAGTAATTTTTAAACTGTTCAATAATTTAATAAATTTGATAAACATATTCAATAAACTCACCGAAAGTAGATAATATAATTTCGAGTTCATGTTTCAACTTTTCTCTCCATCCAAATGATACAAAACGCCATACGCGTCTAATGCTCGAAAGTTGCCAACCAATCAACAATGCGTAAGGCTTTTGACGTAATTATTCATGTTGTAAAGGTGTTAAAAACATACGAATTATGGAAAATATACACTTGTAACATTAACTTTTACAATTTGCAACACATTTTCCCCGATACGCAAAGTTATGAAATCGAAAATAACGATAGAGTAACTGCTTCAAATTTAAAATTAATGAAATATTACTAGTTCCAATAATGATAGGGAAAAAAATAAATAGGAAAGAATCTGCTATACAATAACTTGGCGAATAAATTCTGTTAACAATACAGCTTATTAGACTACGAATCACTTGGAATTTATAATATATCGAGGTTTCAAATATAGACTATCCAAGTCTGCTTAACCAGAAGTACTATACGGAAAATTTTTGATCTTTTGTTGAGCATTATAGAAAAGATGTTTGAAATCTAAGGAATAAATCTCTGTATGTGATTTAGATGTTGGTATTAGTTAGGTTTCTTATGGAGGTAACTCTTTTCTTCTTTTTGGATGCAAAGCATGAAACCAAATTAAGGAAAAGTTTTTCTTTTAAAACATACTTTCATTATAGACTTCTAGCTATCCTTATCAATTTTACACGTCGTTTTTCCTTTCCAACATTACATTGCTTCCAAAGAACAACTGTTAAATTAATGATTATGTAAAAATTAGTATTGGGATTTGTTCATCCATACAATGTATACTTTATACAATATATAAATTTATATATACATATATACAGTATATATATATATATATAGTGCATGTACGCTTTTCTGGTTACATTTACAGTATTCATAGCAACTGAATTACTGAATAGACTTTCGTTAATATTCAAAGAACTACTCATATATTTATTGAAAAAGTATTAGATAAAGAGCACTTAAATTATAATTTATTTACTCCAAGTACAGAAACGGATATTAATGATATTTATGAAATATTCCACCCTCGAGATTTTAAAATCCAGCTATTTAATAGGTTAAAGTCAACATTTTCTCTTAGCCTACTACTTCTATGGACTAGGTCATCCTTCAGAGTTTCTACGACATTGGTCATTCTTTTCATTAAGTTCTCTCTTGAAAACTCATTCTGAAGAAAATTGCACATAATATGATATATGTATAGGTTTATAAATGTATTAAAAGGTATACTTCTAAAGGTTCTAATCTGATTCGCATAATTGTTTCTCTAAGTTCTCCTGAGCATCGCACATTCGGTGTTAGATTTTTCATCATTCTCTGGCAAGCGTCAGTTTTGTGAAGGATTTGATAGAATAATTTTCTCTCCTTGGATTCATCGTTACCGTATCTTCTTCTCTCAAGATGTTTTAAACGTTTTGTAATTAAGCCCAAATATTGTCTAATAGCGTTTTCGCATATAAAACTTCTTCGGTGAGCAGCTAATTCTCTCCAAAGGTCAGTTTCATAAATGTGAGAATCGGTAAAGAGAATCTTAACGGGATAAAAATTTTCAATTAAGTGTCCACAGAACATTTTAAAAGTATTAATAACCTCTAATATAACTACACTACATTTCCATAGCATTTCACAGAAAAGGCGAATTTCATAGGCTCCATATTCAACTAGCTTATCCTTACCCCTTTCCTCCTTGCTTTCATTCCAATACGATAAACTCGATACTACATTCTACAAAGAAGAAAAAAATCGTCAGACAGATTGAGACTATGTCTCTAAGAAATAATATATCACAGAAAGTAGGTTAGAGTAGCACAAATAAAGAACGTTGAACTATAAGAGTTACTTAGATGATTGAGGAAACTTTTTCAGATGCATATCAACGATAATCAATAAATCGCAAAGAAAAAAGTGTAATATAAAATGACATATATGCCTTTGTATCTTCGACATAAACGATTATGTAGTCTTCGTCGCTATTTTTGGTATGAAGGTTGTACATGAAGCTGCCAGCTCGTGCAATTAGAATGACCTTGTCGGGACGAATATGAGAGACTCCTAATCTGTGGCACAGTTCCTTTACTTGGCCTAAATCAGAGTTTACCGGGCCTAAGTATCATAAACAAATTATATTATACAAGTGTAATTTTGATATGACTTTAATGACGTACGAGTATCTAAATTCATAGTTTTGGTTCGAGTTGACCCAAGCCAATTTGATAAAAAGTCAGTATAACTTGTACTCAAATCGGTTATAGCAAACTTTTTGTCTAAATTTTCTTTCCATTTCATTAAAATATCAAAAAGTTTCTCATCAGCAGATTCATTTATATGCTAAATTATTCACTTTAATTAATTACAATGAGGAGAAAATTATTAAATATATCATACTTCAAACGTATACAATTCACTCATCATCTCTAAGGCAAATTTTGCCTCCTCACACAAACTTTTATCCTCCCCTACTACTTTAGCATCGCTTCCGTTTAAAACACATTCGACGTAGTATAATAATCTGAAAGTAGAGGTTATTATTTGGTATTCAGAGTGTTTTTATTCATTAATATAAAGACATACGAGTGCGCGCATACTAGTACAAAATACAATTAATTGTAATTTAATAAATTAGTCAATATAAATTAGAAATATTTATAAAAGAAATAATAATAATAAAAAGAATATCAACTAGACTTGTTAATGTTTCTGGTGTACGATTATGAGTTCTCTTATAATATATTCTTTTAATTTATAATTAACAAACTTTTGTTAATTGTTTTTGATAGATAATAAACTAGTATATAAATGATAATTAGTTAGTATTTTTACTTGAAACTATCGCTAAAGGTTTGTAGTGTGGTTGATCTTCTCAAACAAAATTTTTTTCCCTTCTTCGCACCAACTTGACCGCAACTTTGCATTAAGCATCGTTTTATGAAGTCCTTATTTTTAACTGTAAATAAAACATTACATATTTATAGACAGTATTATCTAATGTATTGTTTTGTTCATTCATATCCTGATTATATGTATACTATTTATCTATTTTACAGCATATATATATATATGTATATGCCTTTTATAGTTAACTTCACAAAGCTTCCTGTCACGATGATAACTATTGAATTTTTTCTTCTTGGACGAATCACACTAATAGCGATTCCATGGAAACATATTAATTATTGATCTATTAAGTTACTTTATCAATATAATAACTTTAATTTATAATTATAATTTGATTAGTCAAACTACACTTATTATTAAATATATCTCTTACCAAAAGATATATTGCAGTTCATTAATTCTTCAAATTGTTTTGAACAGTATAAAGTACATTGTGGTGATCTTAAAGATTTCTCAACTATTTCGACGAATCGAGCTTTGCCAGTATTAAGAAAATGAGCAAAATGAAATAAATCGCAAGCGTATAACCATTCCTAAATATTTTAAGAATATAAAATGATATCATATTAATACAATTAATTAAATTCTCTTTAAGTACCATATCAAACACATCATACTTTTCTCTATTATGCCTATTCATAAAGGAAAAAAAATGCTCAGGTCTCATTCGATAGACTATAATTAGTTTATTAAATTTCGTTCTTTGATTTTTCTGCTTAATACAACCAGAATACCAAGGACACCAAATCAATCCAGCGTATAGAATCTCATCAATAGAATCTTTAAATAGTGACATGATGTTGGATAAAAACTTTTGTTTAGAGCTCTCCGACACCGCTGTTGGAAGATTTGTTATTGTTAATTGTCTTAAAGTTTCCAGTATTCCGGCGTCCGCCTGTACACCATCGAAATTTGCATAGGAACCTTCCAGACGGGATTTAATGTTACGAGACTCTTCCAATAGCTTGAAATTTAGGTCGAAATCTATAAATATTATTGCTTTTTAATGATCTCAATTATACATTTATATTACCTCTCTTTTCTTCTAGATGCCTATACAATTGCTCGTGACCCTGAATAGCCAATGTTGCTGCTCTAAGAGCATTTGAATCGCATCCAGCCATAGTACTGAATAAGCTCTCTATTTGCCGAAATAGAAACAATTGATTATAAGGTACCTTTTTAAATAAAAACTATGTAATTTCTCAATCGTAAGAAATCAACAACAGTAATCTATCTAAACATTTCATCATTCTGATGAATCATTACACATCATTTATTCGTTTGATAAATAACATGGTAATCAGTGTATTTAAAGTAAAATTACCCTAAAATATTTGCAAGCTTTCTCTTGTTAACAATATGAACAATACAATTTCTGTACAAGACAAACAAATCAACAGCAACTCTTGGCGAAACATCTACACATCTCTACCAGTTTTCATATATATATATATATATATACGAATTAGGCTGAATGAGTTTAATTAAATATATAACAATTTGATTAAAAATGGCAAGATTCTACAATCTATAATTTCATCTTATGGGAAAAACAATATAAAGAATTAATAGCTTAATTACTTCGTCAGATAGCGTATTAATAGGTTGGAAAAAAACAAAAACAAAAAGTTGATATACAGTACCATTTTAAACAACAAAAAAGAGAGAGATAATCCTTTTTTATATAAGTAATACTATATTAAACGAAAACAAAGAAACGTATAAAACCTATAAATGATTCAATTCAAAAAACTTTGTAATCTAGGTTCTTTATCAGCAAAAGTATAATTCTTAACTTGAAGGTGAACTATGCGCAGAAAAAAAAATCGTGTTATTTGATAAGAAACGGTGAGTAGGTCACGATTTTTGCCTTAAATATACTTGTAAATATTACTAAACAATTCATAGTCTTTAATGAAATATTTTACATTAAAAAATGCATTAATTCTAATGGAATAATGTACGTGTTACTTTCAACTGCTCACTCTAACTGTCTCTCTTTTCATCTCTAACTTTTTATCTATCTCTATCTCTTTCTCTTTTCTACCTATTCTAAACTCATTTTCTCAAAAAAAATTATAAAACTTTTAGCTTTATTTTTAAATAAAAACAACTAGGAAATAATCTGTTTAATATCAAATATACAATATACTGTATGTAAGAGTTTCTCAATTGAAACATAATCATAGTCAAGTTGACAAACAGCATACAAAAAAAGAAATACGATTTTTCACATTTAGTTATTTAATGGTACAACCCCAGTTTCAACTGAATGTTGACGATCCGTATTATCAAGTCCATCATCACCATCTAAAATGGCAAATATAAGTTAGTTTGCTATATTTAAACTAACAAATTATTAAAATATTATTCTCAACAAACCCATTGAATTCTTTTCTGGTGTATCTTCCACTTTCTTTCCAATAGAAAGGTCGGAAAATCCTATTGATAAGCAAATAGTATATTATATATAATATATATATAAATTTTCGACAAACCTTCACTCTTTTCTTCTCGAGTTGTTTGAGCTTTATAAGCAAACTCTACTTTTTGACTTCCGTTTCTCTCTTGCTTCACCGATTTGCTTAGCTTGTATTCATTTTTTTTCTTTTTTCCAAAACATCCCATTATGACGAGCTTATAAAGAGAAATGAATGAATTCGATTAAGTCGAAGCACTTAAACAACTTATATGATAATATATATATGTATATTTATATGTTTATATTTATATGCGAAGAGATATACACTACTCAGAATATACTTTATATCCAGTAGAAATAACGCGATAAACAATTGGCCTTTCCCTTGTGTGTTGAATGAAAAAAAAAAAAAAAAGTAGGAAATTCAATACTATTTCTGATTGGTTAAAAAATTGAATTTTATAACAACAAAATCATTTTATCATACTTTATTATTTATATTCAAAATTCGATATCGCAGATCTTTTTTTTTTTTTCACATCATAAAATTTATATAAATTGGTCTTATATATTTGTATTATAAAGTTTATTGACCCATTTATTTATATATCCATACTTACGGAAAGTTCTTTTTTCCTTTTTTAACTAATATTTTATTCAACTCACGTTTAAATTGGAATGGGAGAAGAATAACGGGGACCTGTATATATTAATTATTCATGAGATGACATTTTTATTTAAAAAAAAAACTCATACTCTCTCAATCTCTTTATCTAATTTTATTTTATTCATTTCATTAATCATTTTACTGCTCCTTTAAAAGAAATCTAATTCTTTTATTGACAACAATAAAGCATCAAATCAATGCAAAAGGTAATAAACAGCATAGACGGATGTTTTTAAAACTGACTATATGTTTAATCAAGATAGGAAAAAATACGGCACGAAATAAATTAAAAAACAAAAAAAGTTGAGAGAGAAAAAATGCAATTAAACAATGAGATTCAGGCATTTTTTTCTCCTTTTTTTCTCTGACTTTGTTGTTCTTTTTAAGATAACAAAAAATTGAATAAAAGATCATTCTATTTACAGATTTTCGTCTCTTCAAATGAAATTTATGGCTTTTTTTTTTCAAATATTCATTTAAGAACAAAACAGTTCCATGCACATAACTGGACTTAGAGAAGCGGATTCTTTTTCAAGATCTGGATAGGGGCAGGGGTGACCGTGACAAGACCAATACAAAGCATTGCAGTGTTTGCAAAGATTAAGCAATTCGGTATAATCTTCTTTGAATCCGAAACGCCTAAGGGGGAAAAAATAGCGTATGGATAACGTAATAAATTTAATTTCTCTTCAACTTACTTTACCAATCTCTCGTATAAACAGGACCAACGAACACTTTCGATAGTTTCATTATTTTTTAAAACTTTCGCCATTTGAACTTCGTCAAAATAGTAGACACATAAATCTCTCCAAAGTCCATCCTCCTTTGTTAAACTGGACGTTCTATCGCAAGTTTGACCCAAGTTTATAATATCTTCCCTATCACTTAATTTATACAGAATTTCTCTCATGCAGTCATCAGGTAGATCGCATAACGATGGACTCTCGTCGGTTGGCTAAAGTTAACAAAGAAGAAGTAAACAGGATAAGAAATGACTAAAAGATGAACCAAATATAGGTAATAATAATAATAAACATAGGAGGAGGAAACGAGCAGCTATACTTTAATATCACGACTCCTTGAGAAAAACGTGCGAAATCGTTCTGATTTCTCATATATGATAAATTATGTCAGCAAATTCAGCAAAAAAAATATAAAATACTGTACTAAATAACCTATATTCTTAATAGTAAACTTAATAGAACAACAAACCGTATCTATGTGCAGTTCCTCCAAAGCAATCATCATCTGTTGTAAAGAATTCAAATGCATATTCCATAAGGAACGACTTCCAACGTGCAAGTATTTTCCCTTATTCAAGGCTTTATGTGTATCATTCAATAGAGTTTTCATTAGTTTAACATCATTTTTCGTCTGAATGACTATAAGAAATATAAAATATTTATTAATTATTGTATTAATCAATTTATACACAGAAATAATTTTTACTTTTACCTCTTTGAACAGTTTCTTGTAAAATTTGAAAAATGCATCTTTGTGCACTTCCGCTTAAAGATGAGAATTTGTTCCTGATTATCACTTCTAGTAACTATTTTAGATAAGAAAGGACACAATTCAGACAATAAATCACATTGTATAATATTTATAGTTTCATTAATAAAATAAAAAATAGGCTTAATAAATTTTCTGGGAAAACTAAGACTTGACATACATTGTATTTTTACTTAGTAATATGGTTATTTTAGTTAAAGTTTCATTTTTCTGTCTTTCGTGTGACAGGTCGATATTACAAGCTCAACTTACCACCAGCAAGTAATTTGTGTCTATATATGTACATATTAGTGTTATGTCTAAATCCACTAGATGGAGTAAGTAATTGTTAATGTGACATACCTTTCGAACATAGGAGAATCTCTTAATATCACGAGCTGCTCCAGACATATCAAGTTTACTAAACGCCTCAGATAGACTTGTTTGGCATTTTTGCTAAAAGAAATATTAAAAATTTTGATATAATAACTTTAAAATTCAACATAAAATATCCAATTAAAAAACGAGCGTTAAATTACCATTTAGAATAGAATGATTAGAGGGATTTTGTTCTTTTTTTTTTCAGTCTTCCATTTTTTTTATTATTAAAACTAGTTTAGACCTAAACAAATAAGTTTTTTTTCGACGTAGATGGCAACCTCTATTACAGATACCTCATGGGGGTGAATAATAAAAATATTACCTCCTTTGTTGAATTCTTCACAATAAATATATGTGGCTGTGTTGTACAAGCAATTTGCTTACTCTCTTCCGGATCGTACCTTTTGTAGCATCTATTAAAGTATAGAAACAAAATATAAGGTTGACATGCGTAAATTTCACTATGCCTATTGGGTAATATAAAAATTGCGAAACCTGGAAACTACGTTTTCGTTTAAATTTTCAAATATCTTCCATCTTCTTATTTTAACCTTTTCCCATCCTTTTTCAGTTTTTAGCCATTCGTCACCGCCAGATCTCCAATCTCTTCCTAGGAACGGCATCTTTTTGAATAAAATCTGTCTTGTTTACATCTAGTGGGTTTTGCAATATTTGTGCGATACAATCCGTCACGTGATTAGATGAAACGACGTCGCCCATTGGTTAGCATACGTATTTTTTAAAGAAGCGAGAAGCAGATTGCTGGAATATATAATGGTGAACTTTTATTGGACGTGAGTGTAAACATACATCACGTGATAAAATCCGAAAAAAGCCCATATATAGAAGATTGAAATTGGAATACATTCTAAATGATACCAAAAATGGTAAATAAATTATAAGCCAACTGTCTCACGGTCCTATATATAATTTCTATTTGAACAAATCAGCGGTTTATTAATCAATATGTGCATACCAAAAGAAAATCGTTTTCAAATCATTTATTCTATCAGTCAAATTAGTTTTTTCTTTACGATAAAGTTATCTATTTTTTAACTAATTTGCTTTAAACTTTCCATAGAAAATGTCAAAGTTATATTATCAACTTTGAATTGATAAAAAAAAATATGATAATGATAACTCAAGTGACGTCAGTTCGTATCAATGGTTAAACGAACTGACAAACATCCCGCCATGTTTCTGCGTTCACCCGATAGGAGGCGTTTCTCTTAACATACGAAGAACTCATCTGGTTTTAAAATTCGGACTTTTCTTTCAAATAGTTTCTTAAACAAATACGAAAAATTATGATAAAAGCAATTTTAGTCTTTAATAATCATGGAAAACCCAGGATGATGAAATTCTACCAATATTACGTTAGTTTTAAATTATATTCACCCGTTATCGCTCATGTAAACTTATTAGGCAGAAGATATGCAACAGCAAATTGTAAGAGAGACTTTTCACCTAGTATCAAAGAGAGATGATAGTGTATGTAATTTTCTAGAAGGAGGAACGTAAGTGGACATTTATTTATCCAATTCTTAAAACATTAAACATTCCCAATGGAAAACACTTGCATCAAAGTAGCTACTAATTTTTTTCCTAACGTTATTATTTCTTCCGTCCTAAATAGATTAATAGGAGGATCAGATTTTAAGATAATCTACCGTCACTACGCAACGTTATATTTTGTCTTTTGCGTCGATTCGTCCGAAAGTGAATTAGGAATTTTGGATTTAATACAAGTTTTCGTTGAAACGTTGGACAAGTGTTTTGAAAATGTTTGTGAATTGGATCTTATTTTTCATGTAGATAAGGTAAACAATAACTGTATATTGAATATCTTGTCAAATTTACATTTTGAATATTTACGATACAATATCCATATATATACTATATTTAGTATAAAAATATACATAAATTACCGATGGTAGGTCTATGCCTTACTCTCCGAAATAATAGTCGGAGGTCTTGTTTTGGAAACAAATTCAGTTGATATGCTTCAACACTATAAAGAACAAGAAAAAGATGAGCAGGTGTTTTTTTTTCCTTTTGCATGAAAAATTCCGTGTCTTATCTCCAGGGTCTTTCAGATTCTCTCTTAAGTTATATATCCAACAATAAAAAGCTCACAAACTCTCTCATTCACTCACACTCTCATACATACTTGCATATAAAAAACAATAACAAACATAAACATAAAAAGTATTTCTCTCTTATCAATTTTATTGATTTGTTTTTCGGGCGCAGGTTCATTATATTCTGTCAGAAATGGTGATGGGTGGTATGGTACTCGAAACCAATATGACGGAAATATTAACACGAGTCAATGAACAGGATAAAATTGAAAAGGAAGAGGTTCCCCAACTTTACTATTATTTTTATAGTCTATTTTTTTGTTCTTTCCACTGTATTTTAACATTTTCTTTTAATTTTCCTTATTTTTTGTTTTTTAAAAAAAAAAACAAAAACAAAACAAACATTCTCCTTTAAATTTATATATCATAAAATAGGCTGGAATAACCGCAGCACCAGCAAGAGCCGTTTCAGCCGTTAAGGAAATGAATCTCCCTCAAAAGATCAAAGATATAAAGCTACCAGAATTACCGTCGATTGGTGGATTGAAATTTTAATTGCAATTAACTTTTCTAGTCAATAAATACTTTTTAAAGAAAGAATTCCAAAAAGAAGATGGATGAATCAAGGATATTTTTTAAAAATATCACAGATTTAATATCCTGTGATGGAATGTAAAAAATGAACAAGTTATATTAAAATACATACAAATTTCTTTGACGTGAGAATATGTAATTTATGAAAAAGTTTATTTATTAAAAATGAAAAAGATTATGTAATAGCAACACCAAAAGACGATCTAGGTGTTATACAATTACTCTTATAGAAGTCTGGTATAAATTGCATCATTCTAGGTTCAAATACTTCAATATCGCCATAAGGGAAACAAACAGCCGAATTATTATTGCAGCCACCCATAACGTATATTAATCCATCAATTTCTACAGCACAAGCGCCAAGACGACTCTTATTAAGCTTAGCTCTGCTTGGTACAGTCCATTTATTCTATAGATTAATTGGTAAAATGAAAGAAATCGTTAAAAATTGATGCGGAAATTAGATTTTAATCGATAAAAGTAAAAATTATTGACTCTGTCCGAAAACTTACGATTCTTGAACAAAACATATAGACAGTATCTCTTGCGCAAGCATTTTCCTGCGTTGCTCCCCCAAATAGATAAATATCTCTTTTAAACTCAACAGCACAAGTTGCAAACAACGGAATGTGAAGATTATCAGCAGAAGACCATTCCTCTCGAATAAGATCGTGTTTCTCCACAAATTTACAACCGTTACCAAATTGATCAATACCTCCAATTACGTAGGCGCAATCTGTCGGGGAAATTTAAATCATATTCCTTTTCTCGACTCTAATCGTCGAACAAATTAGGGAATTTAGATTTCAATTAACTAGAATTTATTCTTATCTTTGGGATTGTAATACGCAACTTAACGCTAGTTTAACGCAAATAAAATATTCAAAATTCTCACCATTACAAATGCATGCTGTCGAAAAAGCTCGTTTTGTTTTCGATACTCCAACAGTTTTCCACTCCTTTTCTCGAAACATTAAAATATTCTGGTTGATGTCACTACCACTATAGCCACCATAAACGAAGATGGCATCATCGTAAGTAACCGCAGGAGCAGCCGATAATGTATGAGGAAGACTAACTGAATATTGCCATTCATTTCCCTCGATCAAATCAAATATTTCAACAGTATTTGATTGACATCTGGCGTTTTCACCTCCAATCGCGTATATTACATTCTTTAACCTCTCCATAGATAAAACAAACAATTATTTACTTTTAAAGGAAACTTGTATAAATTACTACCAAATCGCCCCCCCGACTACAACCACTAGGAAAGTTGTCCCCCTATATATTTTGTTCAACAATATAGTTATATCAGTTAAATAGTAACAATAAAAAAGGCACAATTTTTTTTTGTAAATTCATAACCAGATGTTAACGGTTTTTAACTGATAAAAAAAATTTGTTAGTGTATTTAATGCTATATGTGCATACCTCGCTAGAGAATGTAAAGATCGATTTTCCTTTAGAGATGATACCACTTTACACGATGACTCCTTTACGCTAAAACATTCTACGGAATCCGTGGCTCTAGAGTCCGTTGATCCATCCAAACACCCCCCTATCAACAAAATCCTATAATCGCTATATTCCCGAGGCTTGTCTGTGCCACAAATATAATTAATATCATCAAATTTGATGCCTGCCCTTTTTAAGCTATCAGTCATTGTCTGAAATTGAGATTGCTTTATCAGAGGGCTTCTTATTTGCTGCATAATCGAAGATATTTCGTGCTTCTTAGTCATTCTCTTAGACAAAATCCAGTCGCAAACGGCCCTGAAGAGAACAGTCTCATTTTCAATATCTATCCTATTGTTCTCCAATAGAGTGGCCAGTGAGCTAGATGATAGTTCCAAATAACTCTTATTCTCTACAATCTTTGAAAAGTTCTTCAGGATGAATGATTCACAGTGTCGGATGAAATTGACTATATTCCTACTTTTCGCTAATTCGAGCATCTGGCAACAATTTTCAAAGTCTATTAGTTCCATCATAAAATTAACAGACCGTTCGACGACTCCGTGTACATTGAGCATATCCGAAAGTTCAAGAACTTGTTGAGCTGTTTCCGGAGTTATACGAATTTCTTCTACAGGGATAAAAGAAAAAAAATAAAATGAAAATTACTTTAAGAATAATAAAAGAAATACTCATTTCTAAAAAGAGAACGAAAGAGAAGTGGGGGAGGAAGTGAAAGATTGAAAGAATTTCCCATAACTCTTTTAACAAATTATTATTAACTACCACGAGACTAGTTCTGATAGATATATTGAACAGCTGACTCTTTAATACCCCTGTGATCGAGCACTATTATCTATTTTGTCAATTAAGTACATCATAAAATTAGTTATATGCTTAAAAAAAAAGAATTTGAAATTTAGCAAAAAGAGGGAGATTTTAATGATAATATTACAAAATAGCAAACGCATGACTTATACCGGCTGCTATAACCTTGAATTTACCACGATACAGTAAAGATATTACCCATATACCTCTGTACTAAAATGCAATGGAAAGGTTTCTAATTGACTATAATTTGTAATAAAAATACAAATTAACTAAAATGCCTTACTTTCTCATATTTTACTTTGTCTAGAGTTTTGAAAGCTTAGGAAAAAAAACTTGTTCACTTCCCTTCTAAAAATAGATGGTTATCCCCCTCCCTCCCCCAAACGTATTTTACATACATACTGATATCCAAAGCTCCTGTTTCTCGATCCACATACATACATACATACATACATATAAATACTTATATCCCTCTTTCTTTTGTTCGTTTATCTGTTCAATCTTTCAATAATTCGTTTTTATTTTTTGTAGCATACCCGTGTAAATGTAACCCAAAACATCACCAAAAGCTTCTTCCCCAACTTCCTTAAGTTCAATCTCTTTGACTTGAGCCTCCAACATGTTTTCCATAAACATGGCTTTGAAATAACTTGAAGCCGCCGCCAATACTACCTTGTGCGCCTCATAACATCGATTCCCCACCCTAATCGTCACGTCACACAATACAGATTCCTGACGTAACTCGTTCAGCCCAGTTAATAACTTCAATTCATAAGCCGACATTTCTTCACTCCGTTAATTTTTCAACCCAACCAACCAACCAACCACCGTTACAAATCATAACATACTTTCTCTTAATTCGTCTGCTAATTTTCCTCCAGCGACATCTATCGCACAATCCTTTCGAATAGATGAATTTCTCCATGTAAACTATCTTATAACACGTTTTTTCTTCTTAGAAACTAATGATAAATGTGGAAAACGTAGCTTACATCTAGCTATCCGTAAAAAATAAATATTTTCTGAAAAAGAAAATTGATAAATCATATGTTTGATACCAAGGGAACTCAACATGCAAATTAGTTCGCAACACCAAATAGTTATAATATGTTGAATATAAGCCCCGATTGAAATATGAAAAATTAAGACTCTTACTCCATAAGATCGATGTAGAGTCAATTTTGCAAGGATACCGATCAAACTTGATCGTGGCAACTAAACCACGATGATGAGGCATGGTGTCCATTACCTGAGCGTGAAGCCGATAGGAGCAGGTTGCGATCGCAACTTGCACCTATCATTGAGGATCGTTCCCCCTTGGTGTTTCACTGAGGTGGAGGGTAGTGGCACGGCCTGAGTGGTCTTTTTTTAAAAATCAAAAAATTTTAACAGAACAGTTTGATTGGCTATTTTGACAGGAAAAGCATACAGAGATTTAATTTAAACGCATTTTCCCTCGTTGTAGATTTTTAGCGTTTTGTTTTGATATTTAAATTGGACAAAATATAAACGTTTAGTTTTTAATATATTTAGATTTTAAATATAATATAGCCTGGTCGTCGCAAAATTCTTTATAAAAGGCACTTAATCTAACGATACTAACGATAGGGACTTTTTAGTTTAACACAATATGTAAATATTGTATAGATCTTTTTCAAAGGTAACAGATGAATAAGATAAATCATATTTCCACTCTAAAAAACTTTATATAGTAGGTTCAGCCGGCATACATAAATAGATAAACGGATGACCTCAGAGATGTAATTTTTCATACAATGTCAAACGTCTATTTAAACGTATTTAAAAGATTTTGTGTTAATTAAGTTTCTATTTTTTATGTCTTGAAAATGCTCTTTTAATGATTGTATTATCTTTAAAATAGACTGAGTTATCAATACATTATATAGGTTTTATAGAAATTATACATAGCAAAACGCACTCCACGTGGTTTTGTCCGCCATTTTTCAATATGTCTGACATTTTGTTACGAAATATTAGCTTGAGAAAGTGAGTGTTTCGAGCAATTAATGATAAGATTTGTGTGGAATTCCTAGTATATTTAAAGTTTTACTTAATAAAGGTTAATAAATCTAATAGCATTAGATATTTCATTATGATTAAACCCATTAAATTGTAAACTTTGAAAGCTTAACTAAAAGTTTATAGATGTAATCTAATAACCAAATATTATATAGTTACACAAACTATAGATGAATAAACTTAATCTTCATGCATTTTCCAAATATAAACCTCTGTACAGAAAGAAGGAGGAGGAGATTACTATGATACCATAGGAAATTATTCAAAATTATAATTAATGGAAAATTTTTTCATATTTTTTTACTTAAGAGACTTGATACTAATTTATTGTATAACAAAACAGTAAGAATAACAAGTTTATTTCAAAATACGTCGCCTACACGGATAACTGCCATTACGAAATGCCATGGGAGGTCATATGGACTATTTTTTATCGAAATCACGTTGACGATGGTTTTTTGTTACATTCCTTAATTTCTTTCTTTCAAAAATATATTCCATGTGAAAAACAATATTTGTTTTTTTAATTCAATCGGGTAGGCGTTATCTTATTTGTGTGTATTTCAATAATACAACTCCTCTAACAATGGCGAAGGGAACTACTTTTTACTGCAAGTTGCCCAAATTTTCACCATTTTTTGACTAACTGCCAATATTATATTTTTTATATTAAGGATAGGCGATAGATAGAAGTTTTTAAGGCTAACAGTGAGTAAAATAGCTAGATAAATCGAGTAAATTCTCCTCAAAGTACTCACAAAAGATTTCAAATATTATGATGGCTTCGTGCGCAATATAGCTAGCTCCACCTCTTATCATAGTTCTCAGCCAATCAAAGCCCGAATTTTCTTGTCAAAAGCCTGAGTATATATTTCGAGAGATGTTATAATCACGATACTCAACTCATACTCATACTCAAGAGCTCAGTGCACACAAACCGCGCAATTATTCTCTTCAAGAAAAATCCAACATTTCTGTGAAGTTTGTTATATATCAGAAGAATTCACGTGGAATATTTGAATTATTTAAACAAAAAAATTTATTTTGGAAACTCTTTAAAAAAGTTCATTTTTTCGCTTTTGGAAATATTGCAAAATGTTCCACAAGGGGCAATTCTTAGCTGGAACAGTCATTTCGCCATCGAAACAACGGAGAAATCTAGCAGACTTTAAGCCTCGTCCCGGTTCCCGACCTAGAGGTAAACAGTCTGATACAAACGAATCTTCTAGAGAAGTATTATCGACATCTATTAGCTCTTCATCCGCGGAAAATGAACCTATTGATTTAAGTTCTACATCAACTTCGTTTGATCAGGAAGGAAGACGAATTAAGAGAAAAAAGTATAAAAAAAATATGAAAAAACCAGAAATTGAAGAAAGAGATCCTTTAGAAGATCTTCTAAAATATTTCCGACTAATTTACGAATGTTCTCTTTGTCACTTTATCGCTCACCGTTCCTCAGGCTACGACCTCCATGCTCAAATGAAACATAACAGCCGGTCGAAAGCAATTCCATATTACCAATGCCGTGATGATGATTGTGAACTTCTTTGCGACACCGAAGTATCTGCATGGGATCATTTGAAAAATACTCATAATATAGATTTAGGTCCGAAACCAAAAACTAATATTGTTGGTAAAGTTTGTGAGCTATTTGATGATAGATTTCGTCAAGAGGATTCTCTGTCACCTTCACCGAAAAAAAGTAAGATTAACGAAAGCAAATTACCGTCAAGAACAAATATTCTTTCTACATCAGATAGATCACCACCGTCTTTAACCAAAGTCAACACAGAGGAGAAACACTCAAGTCCTGTTAAGAAAGCTGAAATTCCTAAAATTTCGGCCGTTCAAGAAGCTGAACCTTTTGATTATTCCTTGAAACTTTCTCCTGCGGCTCCTGAAGAAGTTAACGGTACTTATACTTACAAGTTGGAAGCATTAATTACAGATACAAAAACAGGTGAAGAAGAATCTGCAGATGATGATTCAATGTCGTCGAACGAATCTCCAAATCTCGTAATTGACTTATCTCCCAAAGCTGAGGAAGAACCAATTGAAACAAAAGAAAAACCATTACCATCAATCCTTACTTTTTCTGAAAAGCTTTCTGCTGCCGATTATCCACAACCAAGGACATCATATATTTCCGACGAAGCTGCTGATATGGCTTGTGGAAGGTATAAAATTGCTCCTCATTCCTCTGTTGCGCTATGGTGGGATAGAATTGGTGCAGCAGTCGTCAACCATCGAAGACAGTTATCTCAAGAAGGTATAGTTACTGATTGTAATTATGGTAGTAAACCGACTTACCAGAAACCTAAAAAACGTCCAACAAAAAAAGCGCAAGCTGAGGATTCCTCTGGTCCAAAACCACTTAAATTCATTCTTCCTAAGCAAGTCCCAACTTCTACTAATACAGTCACCCAACCCTCAATGCCTATCGTGGAGCAAAATACCGGGAAAAGTTCTGGAAAAACTACAAAAAAGGCAGCTCCCTCTACCTCATCGAAAAATAAATAGAACCTTTTTCTATGTCTGGATTTTAAAGGGAGGAGAGTGATAGAGAGAGCGAGGGAGAGAGGGAGAAGGAAAGAGAGAGAGAGAGAGAGAAAGAAAGTGTGTGTGTGTCTGTGTGTGTTTATGTGTGCGTATGCATCTATATGTACATATATATATATATATATATATATATATATATATATATATATATATATATATATATATATATATATATATATATATATATATATATATATATATATATTTATATTTATATTTATATTTATATATATCTGTAAGGGAGAAAGAGAAAGAGAGTGCGAGAGAGAGAAAGATGGAAATATTTGTGAAAGCTAACAACGAATTTCATGATGAAATAAGTATAATTACAATTTTTTCATGATTAAGTAAGTCTTCTCACAAATTTGTCAAAGTAAAGATATGAAAATGCTAAATTCATATCATAAATTCTGGCTAACAGCTTTAGAAACAAAATTAGTAAAAGATTATAATAAAAGGTAAACATTATTAATCGTTGATTTGACATAAGGTATTTTAAAATTTTGTGATTTTTCGCTTTTCCTTTGTGTAATTATATTGCATTTATTTATATATTCGTAATAACTTCAAAGTTTATTTAATTATGGTCTATTTTTAATGAAGAAACTTCATTTATGTTCTATTGTTCTATTTACAAACTTTGTATCATGTAAGTCCTTTTCGAAAGTGTCATCTTTTATAACTTAAAACTTTGTATCACGTAGTTTACTTTTAGAAGAAAGATTCCTTTATTAAACTTTAAAAAAATCTGTTCTTTGTGCCTTTTTTGTTAGACGAAAAACTGATAACTATTACTTAATAAAACCTTCAAAATTATCAAATTGTCATGTTTTTATTTAACTTTTTTAAAACAATTAACATTTGTCATCCGAAGGATCATTGCTTGGATTATCAAAGCTAGGGGACAGATCTAAAACAAGTCGAGGAGTGTAATCTCCTGGCGAAAGTGGAGGGATACTTTCTTCGCAAGGCTTTTCTGATCTATCGGTAATGTTTTTAACGATTCCCTCAACCTCAGAACAATAACCTTCAATGGAATCATCGTCGCCACTGTCGTCATTATTTACATATATAAGGCAATTTGAAAAAGAGTCCTTCTTTCCTTCCTCAGCTTTTAACTTTTTTGGAGAAGATACTATAGGAACAAACATACTCTCCATTTTCTCATTCAGAAGATAATCGAAGAGATTCTCAGCTGCTAAGTTGATATTATGAGAACTTTTCAAGTGATTCCGAATGGATAATTTCGAGTCACAGAGGATATTACAACCTTCAACCCGGCACTGATGATATGAGTTGAATTTTGATTTTGAATTGTGCTTTACATGAGAATGGCTGCTATACATAATCTTAGAATTTGCTATGTAATGACACAAGTTACACTCGTAAACGATACGAACCAACTCTTTTGACAATGGTGGAGACTTTATTGTAGCCTTCAGATTTTTGCATGTGGAGTTTTTCTTTTCTTCATCATTAATTTCAGAATTTTCTAAATTACTTGAAACTATCGATTTATATGAGGGCAGTTTTCTTTTAAACAAACTGGAGTTATCCGTTGATTTATCATCATTAGCTTTTCTAATAAGTTTAAAGTTCTGCTTAACATTGCCATCATGTTTTTGAAAGAATTTTATATTATCTTCGCCCGACAGCAAAACTATCTTTGGTGAAGGCCCCATATCACGATACTTTTCGCTGAATTTAAACTTGAATGTCATGAGAAGTAGACTATCTGGTCACCATGAAATTTGGTAAAAAATATCTCAAGTACCATCCCTTATATACACACTAATTTTGGCGGGATTAAACGAGAGCGTTCATTGGCAGACTTTTAAAAAGACATAATACTTAATAAAATAGGATATCCAACGACTAAAATACTGTTGTACAATTCTTTGGAACGATTATTGCGCTCATTTATATTGATGTTAGTGATACATTTTGTTAGAAATGTTATTTTTAAGTTGTTAAAATACTGAGTGTCAAGTGCTTAGAATTGTGTTCAACATTTACTTCTAACTATACCATAATATGCTGATGTGGTGCAAAACAGAAATAATTTTAAAAAAGCTATAATAGAGCGAAACTACTGAAGAAATTATAGACAAGCACGTGCGCATGCTTTCGGCAAAATATCAAGGGCGTATTACAGATAAACCTACTAGCTCTGCCAATTTTAGTTTCAAAATATATCTAAGCAGTTTTAATTTTATGAAGCAGCCTTATTTTACGTCAATTATAGCCTTAATTCAGATATATCTAGTGAGAAATAAATCTTGCTGTAGTCACTCTATTCTTTATTTAATTGAACTTATATAAGGATAAAATGTTTGTGGGGTGTTATAGAATCATCTTACATATTATCTATTAGGGTATAACTAAAACTTATATATTTTCTGGCACTTTGTAAAACTTTTCCTACATGTCTGCCATTTTGAAAATTTTTTTCTTTTTTTTTTCCAAATTGCTGCATAAAATATATTTCATATATTATTTTAGATATTAATTAAAATCATATTATTAAATAATAAAAATTATGATTTTACTAAAATGCGGATTGCAATTAAATTAAATTAATGATAATTGATCCTAATCGATAAATTTCAAAAGTTTAGTTTTACATCGAATAAGCACATTAAACAACATATTTACGATAAATTTTTAAAGCTATAATAATTTTTCTGTATTTGACTTAAAGGAAGAACAAAAAAGTAAAGTTATATAAGTTTAAAAAGGTTTATCAAAAGTGTTCGATTCTATTTGATATAGAAACAAATTATATCGTGAAATCGAAATGATTCGATTCTATCGGTGTCACCACGTCACTTTGGGTTGGAAGAGCGAACCGTGAAGAATGGAAAAGGTAAATAGAATTTTATTTAGAAATTAACTTAACAATTATATAATATTCTCCTAAGTAATTAGTACGAGTACATTTTATTGAATAGCTTAAGAATAAATGTTATTTATTCAATGGGTTTTTGTAAGTCATTTTGACTTTGAAACTGAATTTTTTTTAATTTATAGAAAGATACTAAATTCATGTCTTGAACGAAGCCAAAAATTAACTTAAGATTTTTTATGTCAAAGAGCCGCGCCAATATATCTAAATTTTTTCCACGTGTAAAATGGTGGAAGTAAAAAAGTTACTTACGCAATGCCACCTGCATTTAAGTTTCATTGTGACCTATTTTTTCAGCTTCTCCTTTCCTAACTTCGACGGGGAGCATCATCCACCTAAAGTCACCATTTTTCGAACGAAATCTTCACCAGTTGTCTAGGGAGACAGAAATGTACTGTTTGCTAACGGTACGTTCTTAGCAGATCTGTTCTCCTCACCCATGAGGTAGACCCGAGTGTAAGACTTTGTTCAGTATCATGTTATCGATTACGTTTTATTATCTAGACGAGTAGCGTCAGTAAGCATTATAATCTTGTTATTTTGAAATATCAGGAATTAACAACCTAATTGAGATTTTCTTTTTCGCACAACTATTTTGTTTCAATTATATTTGTTAAATGTTTACATATTTTGGTACTGAAGAAACGCTTATTTTGAAGTCATGTTAACACCTGAGTCTAATAAAGACTCCTTTTTCGTTTTCTAACGAAAACATCGTATGACGTGTAACCTATGGACCCACAACCCACATTCAATAGTTGTCCCTGGACTGCTTAAAGGATCTCCAAATCCTACTGCGAGTCTTCTCAACTCTGTATCCATTACCTATCAATGAAATATTTGATTAAAAACGTATTTGATTATTTTTGCTATGTTTATATTATTTGGTGTTTTTTTCCATTCCATGTTTAAATGTTTTTTTTGTCAAGCTTATTGCTCTTGAACGCATAAGCTAAACGCCCTTGCACATGTCTTTTGTTGTGACTGAGTCATTTAGTGTGGAATAACTGCCTGTTTGAAAATAACTTATTAAACTTTTTTGAAGATTGAACAAATACAAAAGTTTAATTTGGAAATATTTGTCTTCTATAATCTTGAAACAATCAGAACGGTTCTAAACGGAAGTTTATCAGCTGTCGATAGCATTATCCGTTCGAAACCTTTTCCTGTTGATAACATGATTAAAACATACTTCCTCTAATTTTTTTGATAATATCTTTGCCCCTTTTCTGTCTCTCTAGTCAAATATCGTTCCAGATAACTTATAAAATGACTAAAACCAGACAGCAGCTTTTCACTGACTAAGGACGTTTCAACGTCAACCGAGTTATTTTCAGCTTTCTGAAGCATTTTATATTGCATTCAAATGCAAATGCGATTTAAAAAATACAATCAAGATCTCCTATTATTTGTATTCACGATTATTAATCAGACTAAAATATTTTTAGACAATAAAAACTTCAGATTAGCGTAAGCGCCAAAGAGATAAGAAGAGATATAACTATACTTTTCATTTTGGGGTGCAAAAGTGTTTGTCGAATGCAATACAGCGTTTTCCAGGAATATGGTTTAGCAAAAACTGAAATGAAAATGATTAATAGATATACTGCAAATATCAGGGAAATGTTTTCTGTTAACAAAATTATAATATCTTTAAAAAGATATTTTTAGTATAAGCAGGTATATCTAAAAGAATGTATTATAGTCGTCAAGTCAAACAATAGGTTTGTATAAGTAAGCAAAAGCTTCATACGGACATAAGACGCTTTAGAAAAAAGCGTGTGTGTACGTATATGCGTGTATGAAAGAAAAGAGAGAGAGGGCGAGGGAGCAGGGAAAGAGAAAAAATGTAGGTTAATATACAGTTTTCTCTATAAGAATGATCAAATATCATGCTAAAGTAGTTGTAACAGGTAAAATTTGAATATACCATATTTCCTTAGGTAAATTACTTTAAGTATTCTATATAGTATATTGTTAAATTTGTATGGAATATGTCATGGTATATTTTTAATTCTTTTCAGTATACAAACTTTTTTCTTTGATTAAACTTAATTGACATAGAAACATTTTATTATAAAAAGTAATTGTAACTTGTTCAAGCGTTTGGTGGAACGTGATAAAACTTTATGCGATAGAGAGAAATAATTACATATTGATTTGCGGTAGTACACAAGATATTTGTGTGAAGAACAAAGAATTTACTCCACTCCAAGACCTCTTGCTGTGAGGGTAATAATTTAGAATTTTTTTCATTCAATATACATATATAAATCCTTGCTATATCTCCATAAAAACATTCGTTCTAATGATTTTCTTTGGAAAAAAGATAACGAATGTATTTCCATAAGAAGGTAGAATAGTCCAAATAAAGAATTCGTATTCAATATTTTTTAATAGAAATCAATTATTAAAGATTTAACATTTTAAATCTAGTTCGCTGATTAGTTCGTTAACATAATCATGCTTAGGATTTTTCTTATATTGTAAATTATAATTTATTTTTAATAAAATTAAGTTAATTGATAAATGATTGAAACATAACTATCTTTTATGAAACGAATATAGTAACATGAGGTATAAATAGGTAAAGATATTAATAGACTTTTTTTAACGAGATAATATTTTTATATATAAGGGTCCCGCATTGATTTTTTGTTGATACTTTTAAGGGTTGACCAGGGACCAGTCTCAAAACTCGATTCTCGCGTTTTCTCGAAAATCATGGCGGAAGACAACAAATGTAACAGCGGTAATTTTCTACTTTCTTACTTTTAACGAATGTCTTTTCTCTGTTGTGCAACTGATAACAAAAACATTTATTGCCAACAAAGATAACTGAATAGTTGATCTTAAAATGAGCTAGATGTCTGCATGCTTTTTAGGTATTTCCAAAGCAAGAACCTCAACAGACAGTCCTGGTCAAGCTCTAACCAGTTTTAGCTAGTTCTCTTTTTTAAACAGTATGTTTATCGAAATGTTTTTCTAAAAACGTGACTGCTTTCTGCGTATCGGTTAATTCATTCATCATATTATCCATTTATCGCTCGAATTATATCATTGCTTACTTTTCAGATTTGTCGAATAACCAATTTGTATTCGGACAAAATATGGATGGACGAGTTGTAAAAGTTAGTAAACAAATTTTTTAAACATTTCATTTATAATCAGCTTGAGGATATATGATTTGTTCGAAACATTTCATTTTTTAAATCTCTGGAGATTAGACGATTACGGTCAATCAACCATAGGTTATGGATATCAGTTTGCATTGATGTACAACTAGCAACCTCTATTTTTATAAAAATTATATTGATTGAAGTAGCTCTTAAGAGTTTACAATATTTGTACCATATCTAATTTCAATAACAAACAAGTAAAGAATTTAGAAGAGTATACAAGAAGATGTCTTGTTTTATCTCAAGATTACTAAGTTATTCTTATTTTTGTAGAATAACCATTACCCCATGTAGAAGTACAGGCAAAGAAATAAATTATTTATTTCAATTAGTTAAAAGATAGCCATTTAACTTTCATTAAAATATTTATCTGCATAATTAAGTTTTTCGAAATGCGTATCTAAACAACAGGCCGGTGAACATCACAACTCTAAAGTAAAATTATGTTGCCAAAAAAGCAACAGTATTCTATAAGAATGTGTAAGAAACTTTCTTACTTTTTTTAAAGCAAGCCGAAAAAGAGAAATCAGATTCTCCCAAAGCTCAAAGTATTATTCGTCCCGGAACAACTTTTAACCAAAAACCTTTTCCTAACACTCACGGTAACTATATTATGAATTGTTCTATTTTTCATTTATTCGAAAGCAGGTTTAACTTAATATATATTTATAATTTCAGTGACTTCTTTAACACCAAGTAAAATGACGTCAAATCCATTTTCTGGAAGTGCATCGACGTCCAACGATAGTATGTATTTGAACTTTTTTCTACAAGCAATTATCAGAGTATTCTACTTCTAGATTCCGATGGTATCCTTCAGAATAACCCGTTCGCTGAAAGAATAAATACGCATTCTATTTCAAGTGCGGGGAATTCCGATTCTGAAGGTAACATCTAGTAAATTTCTAGAAAAAATCTCTACCGATAATTCAAGAAACTAAACCGTATACACTAATATATTTTCGTTTTCTCTTTATATAGATGATCGAAATAAACCAATTGTTGCCCCCGCTCATTTTCAAGTTGCGACAGCAGTCAATTGTAATTTTCATACTTTCCCCTTTAAAAAATTTTTAATTTTATGTCTGATTAACAGCAAGAGGCTCAAGTTCATCCAGCTTTAAATTAAGACCGTCTGCCCTAAGCAAACATACTGAAGGCATAGGAAAAGGAATATGCGTAAAAACTTTAGGTATGACCGAGTATAATGTCAGTAATTTACAGATAAATTATTATTGATAAATGTTCAGGTGATAAAACAAAAACAAACGATAATAAAGAAAACGCTTCAAACTCAAAGTCCGCAAATGGAACGGTGGATAGTGATAAACAAAATGGAAACTCTCCCGATGAAACATCTTCATCAAATAACGCATCATCATCCTGCAACTTTGTATTCGGTCAAAACTTAGAAGATCGAGTTATGGTAATTTTTTATTAATACTATTATCATTGATTCTATTCAATGTTGATTTCTCTGTCAATTGTCTATAGAATACCCCTGTAAAATCGGATAAACAAAATGGTAATGGTTCAAAATCTCCAACCGATTTAAGTTTCAACACCGCACCCGAATTAGCAACAGAGGAGTCAACAGAAGATGAAAGTAAAACATTATTAGAATCTGCAGCTGAGTATGCAGCTAAACAGTCTATTCCTGAGTTACAAGAAGTGGAAACAATAACAGGTTAATTAATATTATACAATTTCCTCGCAATCTAATCGAGCTGACTGTTTGTAGGGGAAGAGAATGAATCGAATGTTTTACAAATAAACGCCAAGTTATATGTTTTTGAGAAATCCTCTGGAACGTGGTTAGAGAGAGGAAGGGGTGTCCTCCGATTAAATGATATTGCAGCAGCCTCCGGTACAGATAACAATTCAGCTGTACTACATTCTAGACTCGTTATGAGAACTCAAGGCTCTCTTCGACTGGTCTTAAACTCTAAAATTTGGTCATCTATGACAGTTGAAAGAGCCAATACCAAATCAGTTAGAATTACTGCCGCTGACGGCGATGATGGAGTGAAAGTGTGTTTGATAGTTGTAAGTGAACAATATTTTTAAATATACTTATACGAATTTATTGTTATTTATTTTTAATATTAGACTAGTGTTAAGGATGCAGACCAGATTTTTAGTGCTATTGATTGGAGGGTGCAACAACTACGTTCACAGGAGCAAAGGGAAGCCTCAACTTCAGCAACAACTGGCACCTCATCAGAAAATTTTGCTGCGAAAAGGACAAGACCATTCGAAGACGAATGGCAAACAGAAAATACGTCCAATACTACAGGCAAAAAGTTCAAGTAAATACTTTTAGTTTATTTATGAAAAAATTTATTGTAAGGAGACATAATTCTTAATTGTAGAACGGAAAGCTACTCCAGAACTGAGGAATCGAACGACAGTAGCACTGTTGACCCTGAAACTGAAGGTAGCTAGTTCAATTAATCAGCTCTTCTTTCACACCAAATTTTAAACAAATAAACAGCATCCAATAGCAGTGTAAGTTCGTCACCTCCAATCAAATCATCATCATCGGAATGAAAAACCGACTTGCCCAAAAATAAAAACGATAGAGAAGCACTTTTTCCCTTTCTTTTATAAATCTCATGACTAGCTGTATCTAAATTATGAACACTTCGTTTTACAAGTGTGGCTAATATTTGTAAAGAAAGAAAAAAGTTGTTAATCGTTATTAATATGTAAAATATATATGCTTAGAGCAACTATTTTCCTCCGCCTTGTATAAATTGTTCATATTTAGCGATTTTCACAAGTTGGTTTCGTTATTTATTTTTAATGTAAAATAAACTCATGTTTTTGATTACGGTTTTTTAACTACTTTCTTTCTCTCTTTTTAGAAAATGTTAAAAATATAACTTTTTGATGATTTCCCTTCTTTTTTAACGTTATATGCATAAAACAAGAATCAAAACAAGAAAAAATTTGCAATATTTCTTAAAGCATATCCTATCTTTCAAAAAAAAATTTAATATCGATTTCCAATTACGGTTTTTCCGAAAGAATACACAATAGCTTGCGGAGCACACGCATACTTCCCCCAAGCACCTAAAGGAACAACAAGAGCACTCGAATTGTCTTCAGAGCCGAAGTGTAGCGCCTGATCAGTCACCAATTGAGCAGCTTTATTCGGATGCTGACAGGAAGAAACAATGTCAATAATTTCTTGATCGTTCAAAGCGTAAGATACTCCATCTGTTGCTAACACTAGAAAAGCATCAAATCCATGTTTCACTCTTATATGCTTAATATCAGGATCTGCAATAATACCATTAAACTTCAATTCAGGGTCACCGAAACACCTAGACATTGCTAAACGACCCTGAACTCTTCCTCCACCAACTGACGATGATACAATTCTTCCTCCTTTTGACTCTATTCTCTCCCTTTCTGCTGGATTATCTGGGCTATGCTCCCGTGTCAACCTTACCACACTTCCTTTTCGATTTAATACTGCCAGAGAATCGCCAATATGCGCAACATACAAAAATTGATTATCTTTCAAAATACAGACAGTTGCTGTCGTTCCACAGCTGATATTTAATCTGTTCAGATACCAAGATAACCGATTATCAAATTCCAAAAAAGCATGCTTCAATGCTCTTTTCATATCACATCTATTCAACCAAAATCTTATATGACCTGGTAGATTCATAGCAGCGAACTGGGCTGCAACACTGCCAGAATGACCATCAAATATAGCAAACATCATAACCCTGTTAGACAATCTACTAATGCACATCCGGTCTTCATTAGTCTTTCGTCTTCCTAATAGAGTTGCATGACCTACGTCTGTAAATTGAATTCTTGGAATGGGCCTTCCGCTTTTTATACTTTGCTCAAGATGTAATTCTAAGTTTAGTCTGTTGTTCCAAGAACCTAGCGTATCAAAATTTACTCCTGGTTGAAAATCTCCACGATTTTCTGGATCTCCCAATCGCCTGTTACACAATCGATTTGCTTTCAAGCAGAAGCATCTCTTATTCACACAAAATAGTGATAATCGTCGAAGACTCATAAATATGTATTTTTTATTCGATATGCCTAAACAATTATTTTATACTGTTGTCAATTTATAAAAAAAATCTCTCGCTTTGTTTTTTTTTGGAAGATAAATTTTGGTAGCAGAATAGTCTATTTTTTCCTTAACCAGTTTTCATTTTTGCGTCATTTCCGCTATTTCGACTCAATTTTAAACACTTGTGCAATTTATTAAATTTAGAAGAGACTAGTTATTTGATTTATCGGAGATGTCAGATGATATGTTGATAGTAAATGGAAGCCTTTTGGAAGGAGTTTGTATTA